TATGCGGGTAGCGCTCTCAACTCCGGAACACGCGTCGCAGCGCGGTATCGATGTCTCGGCGCAGAGTAATTTATCCAGCGACGAGAGAGAGAGAGAGAGAGAGTTCGACGGAGCGCGAAAACGGCAGCCAGCCAGCCAGCTAGCTAGCCAAGAGGCGGCAACCGGTGCAGCTCGTTCGTGTGTATTTCGGTTTACGTTTCGCCCTGGTGTACACCACTGACCTAACCCCATCGTCGACACGCGCTGCTGCCGGCCCCTTTGAACACCCACAGCGCCCGTACGGGAGTATAACACTTTCGCGGTGTCGCGAGCACCGTGAGTGGCGCGAAGCGCTCGAGTGGCATGTACATACTCTCTTTCTCTCTCACGAATACGACCTCGTTAGAGCAAACGGAAGAAGGAGCCGGGGATTTTTCATCCGTGTAGCCGCGGAGTGGATGTAGCCCCTCGAAAGCAGCGGTGCGCATTTCGATAACGACGATGACCCGTTTAGATTACTTCGCGGCGACTCCTTCCGTTACCGCCGAGGGAGCGCCTTGCAGATTCTTAGCTATTTATCGTAGTTTTATTATAGTTTTAAAGTTTCCCGGGGAAAAATCCCAATTTTCCGCGGGATCTCTTTTGGTTCCTATTCCGAAGGTGCAAAAATTCGCGCGTGTTCGGTTAAAACTTGTCACATTTACTTTTTTCTCGTAAAAGAAGGTAAGGAACCAAAATAAAGTCACGGAAGAAATTGTTTTTTTTTTTTCTTTGAAACTTTAAAACTATACTATTTATTGCTTAAGGTAGTTGGTCAAAAGTCATTTTCTTTGGAATTCTCTTAAATTTGAACTGTACATTAGTAGAAATATTATTCTCTGTATAGTCTGTGAAGTTAGACATCGGCCATTTGGAAACTAAGATATTCGCAACTGAAAATGACACTTTTTATATGTATTTCTTGAGTTTAATGTCCTATTTTTAACTTTTTTTTTTTCTCTGAACATTTAGGTTTTCAATGATGAAAAACTGTTGTGATATTAAGGAGTGATATAAAGAAATGATGCAAACATTTCAGAATTTTTTTCCATTTTGTTTTGAAGATATTATAGAAAATTTACGATTTATAATAACAGCCGCGATATATGTACATATATACATACATATTTATATATTTACATATTATATATATATTTAAATATTTATATACCATATTATAATATCATAATATTTATATACCATTTTCTATCATATGTGTATCTCTATTGGCTCAACTGACGTATAAATAAAGCATTAATGAGCAAAATAAAAAATAAACAATATCTCCGTGTTTGTAATATTGTATATATATCTGTCTTAATTTCGCTCAAAATTAACATTTATTGCTTAAATAAAATTATAGGGGTCTTTTTCTCGGTTTTCCATTTTACGAATCAATTATCTTAATTAACACGATTGGCCACCGTGGGTCACCGGTAACCGCGACGATACGATATCGTCTCGCTCTAATTTGCATATCAAGCGTAACCAATCGCGTATAACAAATATGGTCAAAGTTGTAGCCAATAGGGAGCCGATGAAACGAGCCAGCGGATGCATGCATCATGAATTGGATTTGTTTACCGTATCTTTGGCGATTTAACTTGAAGTAAACATTGAGATAATCGGTGGAGATCTGTGCGGCAATCAGCGTGTTGATATTGGATATTGATTCCTATTGAGATTCGCGTCAGAGCCTCGTCAGAAGGTAGTTGGTTCGAAATTGGCGGAAACCGATGGAGTTTTGTTTGTTGCACGAATCCTGAATCGAAGTTTTGTTGTTAAAGTTAATACTATAAATTCCGTCGAACCCTTGCAGGATCAATGGAGCATCTCGTGATACGACGCTATACAGACTATTATCCTTCCTTTGATGCTGTGTGTAGCAACTTGCTGCCGTTTCCTCCATGTCGAGTCCCGAAGAAGGATTTAGCTGAGAATTATTTAACGTTCGATTATCTCGACATTTCATTTTTACTTGATTCAATTGATCTTTACTTTTAATTCTAATTTTAATCAAGCAGCAATATGGGTAAATAATTTAAAGATTGCAGTGGGTAAATAGCAACATTCTTTATTCATGATCTCTCTTTTTTTTTTTTCGTTGGCGCTGGAAATTTCAATAGGATTTGTAGATTCAAAAGAAGCGAAGTGGAAGGAGCCTTTGTCTTTATAAAGGCAGATGAAAAGAAGTGGAAACAAGGCGTTGGTCGATTCAAGATGGAACTTGCTATCCGTGTAGCATTATTAAAGGCACACGAAAATACTTGTGAAAGACCTGGGTCAGTATTTATAGTTACAAGGAGCATTGTTAGAGGCACAAATCAATATTTGCAAGGTTTCTGTTAGATTCTAAATTTCATTTATATTCTATTATCAAATAAATTTAGGATTCATCCCCATCTTGGCCTCGATCAAAGATCCGTCAAAGTCGTTCGTTAAGATCGGAAATATCTCATACAATAAATGATTTGACATCTAGAAATAAACGATGCGCCGTTGTCCACGTTCCGATTACTTGCGTCCTCCATTCTTCCCTTCCCTTTGCTTCCCTTTTTAGCATCCCGGCTGCATCCTCACACACAGGACACTCGCGTAGGTACAGTCGAATCGGAAAACCACGTGTCAATTATAGATATTTAAGATAGACTGAACTACTTCCATTGGAGAGCCGGCATTAGTAAAAGAGAGCAATAGGGTAGTAGCTTTTCTTGTCTAATTGTAGTTTGGGGAGAGAAAGGAAAAGGAGAAGCGACACGTTTGTTCTTTATAACTGAACTGGCTGCATTAGTTCGGGAAATTTGCATATACCGAAGTGTAAGAATCTTGTACACGCGCTTTCATACGCTTCAATGTGCATGAAAATTTCTTGAACTATCGCAGCCAGTTCAGCTGTAAAGAACGGACCAATGATTATACTGGAAAAAATGTTATTTGGATTAAGTGAACATTACTTGAGCGTAGCACTTCTTTGTTTTCAGTGTGCTACATCCAAATAATATTTACCTAATCCAAATAAAGTAAACTGCTCCAATACTTCTTGGCAAATATTTATTAGAACGTAGCAATTTTGTTTTCAGTGCACAAGTATTGCGAACTAATAACTAATACTACGAGCACACACACACCCCATTATATTATTCATGTGCCTCCGCATAATCAAATACATAATCAAATACATATTATTCTTCTCTTTCCTTCGCTATGTCCATTCTCACTCTTCTTTTTCCCCAACACCACCTCCTCCCACATTACTACGTAACAAAGAAAATACCACTATTAACATATCTCTGTCCTTTGATCTTAGCTTCAGCTCTCCAGTGGCAATGCCATTCTACATGTCTATGGTGTCAACGAACGCGAACCCGATGAAACACACAAAGTCGCGACGAGATACTTTATTCACGCGACGGAGAAAAAAATTACCGCTATGACACATCGATACACGTGCTCGCCGTCGCGGTATGTGCGTTCTACGTCGGCTCGAAGAGAGCAGTGACGCAGCGCGCAGCAACAGCAAAACATTGGGCCGCGAGATCACAACAAAAAGTTTTTCGAAACATTTCCAAGCTACTTGACAAGTCAGGACCGTCACACGCGTAGTGCTTATCGGGAGCGCCCCGAGTCAAGATTCGGGATCTACCGCGGGTGTCTCGCGAGTACTGACTTATATCTGTAACGATGCTCCTCCCTTACATCTCCTGCCGTCTCGACTCTTTTGAATTCCCAAAGCTTTTTCGATGTTTCCAGCACCAATATAAAATGATAACAATTATGTTACGTGAAGAGAAAATTTGTTGTTTAAAAAATATTGAAAAATAAGAATATTTGAAAATAATATCATTCGTAGTATGGAAGGATGATAATAGTCTGTACAGCGTTACATCTCGAGGTTTTTCATCGGTTTTTTTTACAACTCGACACGATAAACCTCTATCCGTTATAAGGGAATAAATCTGCGTGCTAACAACCGCACCAAATTATATCTGTCTCACATAATCGATAATAATTAATTAACTTTTCTTTTGCACAACAATAACGTAAATCAATGCGAATTTTAACGCATTTACCTGGACGGGCGGGTAAATCTGCAATCCTCCGTAGAATTTATGATGTGAATATCGAGCGAGATATAGGATATAAAATATTTAAAAGAATTGAGAAAAACAGATCTCTAAATTTAAATCGAACAACGTGCTGTTAACGCTGTTAAACGTTAACGTGCGTAAACATTATCGTGCGTTACAGATTACGCGCGTAAAAAAATATAATAAAATCCAACCGCAAAATATTAATATTCAAATTGCGGATGAACGAGTTCCTGCACAGAGAAAAAGATTTCTTTGGATTTAGTACATGTGTTTATTCGATTTGGATTTGTTTATATAATTATATATAATAATATAATAATATATAATAATATAAAAATATATAATAATATAATTTAATATCAAATATTTCTTGTTTAAATGAAAATGTTGCTACACTAGAATAAACCATGATGTTTAACAGAAAAAGAAACAGTATTATTTAGAAGAAATGTAGTATTTGGCTTTCAATAACAAAAATTTATTTCATTATATATTAAATATTGTTCCACAGAAACAAAAAAGAAGTTTCTTAAAATTCCCCCAACACAATGTTACTTCTTTCAAATAATTTACTGCTCGTGTAAACCATTTGCAATATTTGGATGAAAATACAATAGAAACGTGTTATTTGACGTAAAAATATTTATTGCTTGAGAAACCGAATCACATTCCTGTTTGTTGAATCAAACATTCGTTTATTCGCTCCCTTCCAAGAGACAAATTTCTCTCAATTACAGACATTCTGTTAAATCTAAAGGAATCCTTTTCTCCGTGCGCGATTAAAAGCCAAATCTCCTGTATGTATGCACGCGCACACCGGCTGTCACCTGTCGCACGCACACACGTATGTGTCTCTGTACACCGGCGAACTCTCTCCTCTCTTGCCCGCAGAATGGACATCCTGCTGAGAGACATGAACGCGCCGTGGCGATGACAAGCCTGATCTTGGAGAACGCCGACTTGAACCGACTCTTTCCGAAATGCCGGCCTAGGGGCGGCCCACCCCCGGCCCCGGGGGCCTCCACGCAGAGCAGCCAGCCGCATGACAGCCCTTGCCAGACGGAGGCCACCGCTATCGCCACCGCCGCCGCCATCGCCGCGACCACCAGCACGACAACAGCCGTCATCATCGCCTCTACGAACACGTCGACGAGCGTCCCCGCGTTATCCGACGACATGATCGACCTCGAGCGCGACACCTCCGACAGGCAAGTTAAACCGATTTGCGAGGCGAGATCGACTGCTGCGAGAAAGAGAGAGAGAGGGGGGAAAGGGGGAGATCGAGTTAATCGTACTTCCGAGAAGAACGACGCTGGGGTGAGAGAGTCGACGGAGCGACACTTCCTCTTTCTTCTTTCTCGTCCTCCGGCTCTTTTCGGGCGATCGCGAACATAATACGCGGATAGGGTGGCTCCACGTAATCTCCGAAGATCGTCGGCGATATTTCAGCGAGTGCGACTCGCGAGAAAGGGTGAGATATCGCCGGCAATCTTCGGAGATGCGTCGCCCCGCTTCTCGAGAGACGCGTCTCGTGAATAAGGCGCGTTATGGCGGCGGCTAATTGCTTAATTGGGGCTAATTGCTTGGTTCCACCTTCGGCCGGAGGGCCCGAGTAAATCGCGGGATAAACGCGCGACCGATAATGCTCGCCGCGTCAGCTTTACGGTCGCTTCCCCATCGAGCTGAATTTTGAGGTTGCCTCGCGCAAACGAGAGAGTTTCGGGGAAACGGTAAAATTTTATCGGTCGGGACCCGAGGGGTTCAATTGGTTGGTGCCGCCATATGAACCTTCGAAATCGAGTCGGTTCAACTCGACTCGAGTTGTCTCAATGGATCTTCTCTTTTTCATTTTTTTTATGACGCGATTGGGAGTTCGCGAGTGTGCGCATCTCGACTTTCATCGATCAAAATTCACCGGCTATTCGGGTTACTGTAGACGCTCTCTCCCTCTCCCTCTCTCTCTCTCTCATCCCGGAAGAGGGACGAGGCCGCTACGCACGAGACTGTGGTTTCCGTCCAACTCCTCGATTGCGAGTGTACACACAGTAAACACGCGGTAATTCCCATGGCGCCCTTGAGCCGAAATGAAAATGACTCTTTTTTGTATTAATTTATTTAATACCCCCGCCCACCAACGATTGCCTATTGTTAAGAGTTTTAAGTTACGTTCGTAGGTATAGGAAACGAGCGAATGGCAGAAAAAAATCAGGTTCGCTGTCCCGTAGGACGGCGAGCGTGGTGCCCGGTTTTACGGTCGAGGGCCAATTGCCGATCGCCACGAAGCCGCTCTCGTCGAGCTCGTCTTCGGCGTCGGGACGCAGCGAGGACGCGCCGCAATATGGCAGCCTGCCCGGCAGCGATCACCAGGGTCAGTCGCAGCAGGACGACAGCGGGCCCGAGGAGAACCCCGTGTACATTCTGACCTCGGCCAAAGGTGGTCCCAGCTACAAGCTTCGGGACTCGAGGTAACGGATCGTCCGAGCGGCTGCGTCCACGCCGAAATTCGGATACCACACGCAGAAAAATACTACTTGTACCGCGAAGAGCAGCAATCGCTTGGTTTATTTCTCTTCTTTTAAGTGACGGTTATCCTGAACGAAGAATTTTTCCCTCTCCTGGATAATAGTGTTAAAATATACGTATCGCAAATATTAGAAAAGCTTATTATTATTCGCTCAGGAGAAGAATCTGTTTTCTTTTCAGTAAATAATAATGAGCTTTTCTAATGTCTGTCACGAGTACATTTCAATACCGTACCAAGGAAATATTATTTGCTCAAGATAATCATTACTTAAAAGAAGAAAAGTAAACTGTAAGTAATTGCTCTTATTCGCGGTACAAGTAATATTTTTCTCTGTGCACGAGAGATTCCCGGTCACGTCGCGCCGATTGCGGACGAATGCGGCCGGTGTTTATCGCGATTGCCGTCGTTGGCGATAAATTCACGCGCGAAACATATTCAATTTCATCAATTGTAAAACTTATCGACCGTTAATTATTTACTATGAATCGTTGATTCTCGCGGGAGCACAATACGAACGTATACATAATGCGTGATATTTAATTAATTATTGCAATGACATGCGTACGCGCGTCCATGTGTGTATGTGTGTGTGCATCGAATAATAATCAGTTGAAAGTCATTCGAAATTCGAGGGAGAAGGAGAGAGAAACAGAGAGGAAGGGGGCGAACCTTGACGGTGGAAATACGCGAGAAAGGAAGGGGCGAGGCAGAAATTGAAACTAATTAAAGCGCGCGGATTATCGAGTGGAACGGGCGAGATTGCAGAAAAATCGATAGGGGCGGGCGTTTTAAAGGCGAGGTGTATAAATACTCTCGTGTACACACGCGAAAAATATGTCGCACCTTCCGTCGCGTTTTCGCCGCGGCGTGAAATTTGCGAGCGGCTCGCTCGCGAAATACTACGCCGCTCTCCGATGGAAATCTATTTGACGTTCGGTCTTTCGCGTACACGCGGACGACCGGTTTCGATAGCCGATACATCGGTGTGCTAGTCGGGTTTCAACCCCGACCGACGGTCCTGTCCGCGTCGTCGATGTACCTATGTATCCAGCGGGGCGTTAATTTCAGGCTTAATGCCGACGATACTCGAGCGGAAATGTCAGTCAAATACCAACTTCTCTCCCCCGCTACCATTAACGTATCGCAGCCTGCTCGATGTATAGCAAACAAGTCAATACGCCCGCGACAGCGTAATTCGTCCGGCAAACATTTTCCTGTTTCGCTCGCTCGCGAAGCTTTCGCTCGTATGGGGGGAACGTCTTCGTCGCCGGCGATAACATCCGCTCGTTCAACTCTTCGCAATTTGAAACACGTTTCTCTCTCTCTTTAGGGCTGAGTTACGTGTTGAGGGGTAATCTTCATCAAATTTTGATTAAGCTAATCGATGATTGGCGACTCGACTGGCAGAGTCGCCGACGTAAAAAATAAAGGACCGCTTGTCGCTGAGAAGAGGGAAGGAGTTTCTTTCTCTTGTTTCTCTTATACACAGTGGAAAAAATTTGTGTTAAATTTATATGTCCCAGACGGTCCGTTCAAAGTTTCATATCAATTTAACATAAAGTGAATATGTTGAAAAGTAACATATGTTGCGTCAAAAATTAACGCGTAAATTAACACGTTAGTCGACACACTGAAATGTAAAATATGTTATTTTAGCACGTAGAATGTTGAGATAACATAAACACAGTATATTAAATTAACACACGTAGGTATGTTACAAATTATAACACGGGCCGATTTTAACACAAGTACATGTTTTTACCGTGCAACTTACATTTCAAATCGTGTCACCAGAGTCAAATATTAGCCCGCTTTATTTTGCTAACATATTGCAGAATTATTAAGTTTTGTTTTTTTTTTTTATTACGGCACGACGAATTTATATAGTTAGAAATTGCCGTTGGTAATTCTGCGGGTTAATCGTCGATTAGCTTAATTGAAATTTGATGAAAGTCAGCCTTAATCTGAAGAGTCTGTAATTACAACACGGGGCACAGCTGTGTCATGCCCGCGCGCGATCCGCACCACCGTTTTCCGTGCTTCGTACGCATTTATTTATTTATTTATTTTTTCCATACTTTATTCTTGTATAAAGCAGAGCTATTTTGTCGCGGGCGAATTGGAAACGCGTTTAATTAACGTGTTTCAAAAGGGAGCGTATCGAAATTTTCGACATTTTCGTTTGAATCGGATCACACCAGGGGAACGATTAAAACCCAATTAAATGCAATTTTCGTGAACTCACGTTCGGCCGGAAATACGCGCATTCGGATTTGAATTACGTTAGGGCTTCAATTCGCGTGATAGAAACCGCGTTTTACTTCATTCCTCTCGTTTTGCACAGCTTAACATTTAATTTCGACCCTACCCTTGACACACACGTTAAATCATTCGAGGATCATTAATCACGCGCAATTGCGGCGCAAAAAAACTTTTTGTGTACCGTATCGGCGTAATCGAAAATGGCGCGTTAAATTGAGAATCGCCCGACTGATTAAATTTACCTTCCAACGAGAGCGACACAAATTGACGGGAGTCCAGTACATCATCATTCGTCCTTATTTCATATCCTATATAGAAAAAGGTTAACGGATAATATAACTGGACTTGTGTCAACTTGCATCTCTTGCTGGAAAGCAACCTTAAAAAGCCGAACTATCCGATCCCCAGACTTGCCGTCTCGACATCGAAAATCGGGCCGCATTTTACAAGCACTCTCACGTGTCCGGCAATCAATAAAGCACGATCTAATTTCGTTTTAACTGTCTTCAATGCGCTCTAACTACGGCGGAACAGCCCGGACGGAACACGCGATGCAACTGGGTTATGAGGATTTTTCTATTCTTTCTCTCTCTCTCTCTCTCTCTCTCTCACGCATCATTGATTCATTTATTTATTGTAATCCACCTCTCTCCGATAGTCTTTGTTTGTTAACGCTCGCTCAGGGTATTATAAAATATCGGTACGCAATAAACTACCGATAATCTGAATGCGCGAATTGAGGTTATGCCGCCGGCCGCCGCAGCGCGTTCATTATTTCCCGCGCGGGGGGCCTCGCTCACCTTGTTACAGAATTACGATCCGGCGCCGCTGCTGCTCTCGGTGTCGGCTCCGTTCGAATCCGCGAGATAAGATCGAGCCTTGTCTCCCCGCAGATGACGCGCGAGTATCAAGACGGGCGCCGCCGGAGTTTAAAGAAGATTAAAAGTCGCGCCTGTTCCTCCTTCCCGCCGTATGCGCGCACCCACACACACACACGCGCGTACATGAGCGGGCAATCGAACGTTCGTGTGTCAACGCCTCGGACGCGCGTCATTGGTCTCGATGAATATCTTTCAATAAAGCATTCCAGGTCGGCGGGCCGCATCCCAAAGACCGAGAAATTGCGCGTAAGGATGAGATTAGTTTCGGGAAGGCCGGGGCGGGCGTATTAAATGCAATCACGGTGTAAATTATAGGGGGGAGAGTCCGAGAGCGCGCGCGATCGTGGCGCGCGCGCGCCCGCCCGCCCGCGCGCGGCCAAGCAGCAGCGATCGTGGCACCACGCGTCATCTTTTTTGGGGTTAACTCACCTGTCACGCGAGACGTCGAATTCCGTGCCGCGAATTGTACGCGCGCAAACCGCCGCCTTCCTCGGCCGGACGACGGGGCGAGATTCATTCGTCCCGTCGGTGCGTCATGCCGCGCGTACGTCGTTCCCGCTTGCTACCAAATTCGACGTCGACACCTGCGACAGGCTGCGACCGATGCCAGGCTTCGCGGCTGCTGAGAGAGATATTGTCTCACGGGAGAATGCCTTGCACGTTTCGATAGCATCTTGAAGTAGCCTCGACTTAAGTAAGATGGAACGGTATCTGGAAGAGAGAATTTCAATTCTCGTGCCTTTCTCGTTGTAGCAAATGACCACCACCTCTGTTGTATCGTTAGCCCCGCACGCAATTATCTTGATAATTGATGAATTCACGTAGGAAACTCGAGGAATGAACTCGTAGAACTTCCGATCACCTCGTAGACTCGCCGGTAAAGATTGTCACGTGTGTACGTAAACACCTAATGGATTTTCTTGTATTGTTCCGCAGAATCATAGAAATCGCCGGCGGACGAGAGGTGTTCTCGCAGAGCCGAGGGAAGGTGGCCGCTAGGAAATCACGCTTTCTGGCCGCGTCGAATTCCATAAATAACGAGGATATTCAAACTGATAATAAGCTGTCCGTCAAGAAGAACAACAAGTCCCCCAACACACAGACCATATGGGAGTTACGGAGCCGGTAATGAAGTGTCTGCGCAGAGAAAGAGATCAGTCTTGAATCAAGATAGATACTCTCATGTACAAGCAAGAACGTTACTATGTTCTTAGAAGACTTGTAGTCCTAATTTAAGTTCAGGTGATACTTTCATCGATACTAATCCAAACTCAGACTGGTATTCACGAATCAGAATTGGTATTCATAGTCGGATCTTGTATTTAATACAGCCTTGAGTTGATCTTCGGATGCTCTACGACTTATTTCATTGTCCGAGATGGTCTTAAATAAGACCCAACTATGAATATCAGCCTGAAAATCTTCGAAGAAGATTCGAATATTCTTGCTTATGTGTGAGAATGCCTGTTCTTGATTTAAGATCAATTCCTTTTGTATCAAGTCCAATTGAATTTTCCGCGACGCCGATTCACATCCTCACGTTCGTGCTGACGTTCGAATGCGTTTCAGATGCGGCGAGACTAGGAAGCAGCGCGCGAATCGAGAAGTGACGGAGACCGTGTTCGCCTCCGAGGTGCACTCGGTGCGGCGCAACCCCACGAAACTGATCCTCGATTACGACTCACCGAAGAGCAACCGTAGCAATCGCATAATTAATTACGATACAATCTTAAATAGCAATAATGTAGAGTACACCATACCGAAAAGTATTACCGACCTGGACTATGGATTACCAAAGAGCTGCGTAGATTATCAGTCGAATCACAACACGCCCGCGAGAAGTATGGCCATCGTCAGCGACGGCGAGGTCGTTGTCTTCGACGATATCGACGACAACTGGCAGGGGTTGCGATTGGACCTGGCGTCGAGCAACACGAACCAAATCACGACGACCGGTCTGGACTTGGAAACGGACGAGAGAGGTCGGATCGCGCCGGAACCACCGAGCTCGAGCGTCGGCAGTACTCCCAGTCCGACGACGGCGTATCATCGCAACACTTCGGAGTTTTTCAAAGTAATTCGAGCGAGATAAGACGGATAGATTGACAGATAAAAGCAAACCGCATTGGTTTCCCACGTGCGAACGTCTCACAGGCTCTGTCTCGGCAGGTTGTCACGCCGGCGAGCGATTGCGAGGCGGATTCCCCTTCTCCGGAGCGCAATCACAAAGTCGCGCGTGTCATCGGCGAATTGCCGATCGCCCAGTATTCCGGCAGTCCGAGGCGTTATGGCGTTCGCGAAAATCCACAGCTTCCCAGCTTATTATCGTCGCCCTCTATGTACATGACACCGAGGCCTGGTTTCCCGCAGAGAGTGCTGCCGACGACGCCCAATCACAATGAGGTACGCATTGGGAAAAGCACGTAAATCGTAAGATCTCGACGCGGACGGACCAACGACGCGACCCCTAATCTCTCGCAAATTTGTTTTTTCACGCCTCAAGAAGGAGGACACTTCCGCAGAAATTGTTGTAGACAAGACTGTGATAGAAAATACCAGCGTTGAGGATCAGTCTGTGAATCCATCGCCGCCGTCACCGAAGGTCGAGGAGGAAGAGGAGGACTCTTTGAAGCCGTCGACGTTACCCGCCGATAACATAAGCAGTCTTGTCTCGCCGGGAGGTAGCACCTTCGACTACCTGTACGAATTCTCGGAAACACGGAAGGTATTGGAGGAGTTCTTCAAGTGTCCGGCGCCGACGAAAGAGAAGGAGAACAACATAGAGTCCTTTCCTTTCCAGGTGAGGTTTCTCTATTTGCTTTGCGGCATTAGACGGTGTGTACGTATCTGCTGATAAGATATTGAATTGCTTCACTCGCCGAAGAGAAAGTTGACGATATTCCGGAATTCTTGTTGTATAATTCATAAAAGCAGAAAACAGATGTACACGTAACGGTGATTTGAATTTATAAGTCGCCACTCGCTATTAGCAAGTCATTTTTCCGTTCCAAGGATCTTGATTATGAGCTGCGAAGGCAGGGAGGAAGTGCATACGTCGGTCAACGATTAGCCAGTGGCCCACCGACAACAGAAGAGGTTATGGTACACGAGTCTCCCAAAAAACAACGGGCAGAATTCCCGCAAAATGTGAGTGTAAGAAAGCCGGAAATCGCTGAACCTCCAAAAGATTCATTCGCTTCCTTTAAACTGTATCCGTCTCTCGTGCTGACACAATTTTCAGCCAAGCTGATTATTCATTTATGCGTCACTTTTATACGACGAACAGAAATACCTGCAATGCAAATAGTATATCGCCAGACAAATCTACGATAACGGAAACTATCGTCCAGAAATTGTATTTGCTCTAGTAGTCGCTTTCTAAATATACGAGTCTATTTATAAATAGATACGTTTTCGTGGTAGCACCATGCGATCGCTTCGAAAGTCTTTCCACGCTCGAGACGTCATTGGTAAACAAGAGCAAACACTTTGCCCTCATTGTCGTTCGTTGCTTCTTCCAGACCGGTGAGCACGAGAACAATTTCCTCGACCTCTCGGTGGGCACCGGCAGCAGCGAGGACCTCGGGGAGACCGAGGTCGGCTTGCAAGTGGGCCACTCGCGTAATTTCACGCTGAGCCCCGAGACGACCGATTGCGACAGTAATTGCGGGGACTTGGACAGTGAAGTGTCCCTCATGATGATGGATAATGAATTGATGCCGGCGAGTGGTCTCTTGGGCTCGGTCGGCGATTTGGGGAATAATTCGGATTCCCTGAGAATATACACCAGCATGCCGGTGCTGGAGGACGGGCTGTCGAGTGGGCACGCGAGCGACACGGACAACAACAATCCCACGGTGATGCTGATGAAGCGGCAGATCAACGAGATCGAGAAGGAGATCATACAGAGAACGCGTAACGACATGCTGGGCACGGAGAACGACTCCGGCAAGGACTCCGTCAGTCTGAACGTAACGAAGGACATTCTGCACACGCTTAAGACCACGTCCCCCGACATGTTCGTCGCGAAGAAGGAGAATTCCTACGACGCGAACGAGCTGCAGCTCGACGGACTGGATCCGCTGGGCACACCCCCGCCGCCGGCGCCTCAAGGACGGCAGAGTGTAAGTTTAGAAATCGGCGGGGAGGTGGAGGCGGCCATCAAGGATATTAGAATGGCGCTGCAAAGAACTAAAACTCTGCCTGTGAAATCCCCATCCGAGGAGCCGCCGGAACCGAGCGTCAGTCCGATCTGGATACCGAGGTATCTTACGTCCCGCTCTACGCGGAATAAGGGTATTCCAATTGTTGTAGATCTGCATAATATATACCGTCCGTCCGAATATTTGGTCGCCTCGGTGTGCGCTTCTTTACACTCCTCGTTATCGCTTCTCGAGCTCGCTCTCACTCACGCTTGTCGCTGGGTTGAACATACGTTTGGGATACCCTTCGGCCGACTCACCGTTTCGCGCGTAAACGCATCTAACTAAGATGTAGTATAATGGATGGCAGGCGGAGAGTTTGTATGGAGAGCAACAGCGAAGAATCGGAAGCGCGCCGGGTGGGCGACGAGGCCGACGTGGAGATCGAGGAGTGCCCGGACGAGGAGGAAGCGGACACCGACCTCGAGACGGATCGATTGCTCGGCCAGCAGAGGACGGACGATCAGGGATTCTATGACGACAAGGTGAGCGTGTAATCTGGCGAGCGTGTGACATTCGCATCGGATCGCATTGCTCTCGTTGATCTCGTTGTTACACTGATCAATCGTTCTCCTACGTTTGTTTCCTACATATTTATTTCGATGTCTCGTCGGGAGAACAAGCGATCATACTTGTGACAACGTATACTCTGTACACCGTGCATACGCCGTGATCTTTTCACCAGGCGATATTGAGAGAAAAGTGGTCGGGTATGTTTGGACAAAACAGCAGGGTTAAATATAAAATCCGACTATGGCCGGTATTCATAGTCAGATCATATATTTAAGATCGTCTTAAGTTTGTCCTTTAGATGCGTTGTCAATGAAGTGATCCGTACAGCATTTGAAGGACCTTAGCGGAATGGTTGACTTGTAATTTTAAGACAATGTTTTGCGCACTGAGTCTTTATCTAAATCATCATTCTTCGACTTCTTTTTCCTTATTATACAGCGATTTATCGTCAATCACAAATAGAATGATTCTTTAATTTAAGATTCCAGACACAAGACGATCATTGTACGTTACTTAAAACAAAGACTTGAGATAACGTCGTAAAGACGTCGTAAAAACGTCGCCTTAAACCGAATAAGTCAGCATTCTGCTAAGTCCCGAAAATAAATTCAAGACAATCTTAAAAACACAAGAATGTCTGAATATTTTGAATACCGGGCATAAATAATGTACACACATTTTCACCTCTATGTTCTCCGTGCGATCGAATGGTGTAGTGGTGTTCTACTAATATTGTCTTGGTGTTACGCAGGGGTGGAGGAAGCCTAAAACTAGGACAATGTTACCACCAATGAATGCGAAAGTCGCTACTCCAAAGCAAACCCCTCCCAAAACCCTGAGTGTTGCCCCGATAGAGACGCTAGCGCCTTCCGAGCCCCTGCCCTCGACGTCTACCTCGATCTCTCCTCCTCCCGTAGTGTCTGTTATACAATCGCCGTCTTCTGAGTGCGAAGTAGCCACTCCCGCGCAACCTACATCGAGTCCGCAGAAGACCCCAGTCAAAAATTCCCCCACATCCCCTCAGAGTCTCAAGGAATCCAACAACAAGGTGAAAAAGGTGCCCTTTCAAATGCTACTGCGGAATCTATTTTTCTTTTATAGAAACTGTAGATGTCTGTTATATATATATATATATATATATATATATATATATCTTTAGTCGACCGTGATTAACATTGCACACTTTGGTGCATGACAATACTCTCCTTCAGTTGCTCAACGAGATTTAGTATATTTATATATACATATATATATATATATATTTTTTTTTTTTTTTCACACGAACTAATCAGCTTAAATACAGACTTACGTGTAAATCTCGTGATCAGACGAACTTTCCGTCCAGTAATCGAGTACTTGCGATACGTCGTCACAGTTGACGAATAGTCGATCAATGTTTAAGCTGATTTTTCATTTCTTTCTCATCAAGAAAGGGTATTCGCTGTCATCCGTGGGCTTTCGGTGTCATCCATTTGCTTTATACTTTCTTCACGGCTTTCGCTTATTACGCTTACTTTAATTTACGACAAACATTGTTTCGATGCTGTGCTCATAAGAATAGCGCATACTTTGAATCATCTTTCATTCGCAGCATTTACTTACACTTCGCTTATTCTTCGATCGACCGAAGTAATTTTTCATGGTAATGAATAACGTACTTTGTGTATAATTCTTTTCTGCACCTCGAACGGAACGAGACAATTGTTACAACTGCTTTGCAAAAGAGAGAATGAAACGGAGTTGATAATATTCAAATGCTCATTATGCCGCTCTACTAATATTCTACTACTGTTCTATTACTATTAACACTATTATAACTGCTATTTATAGACATAAACAGGAACATGTCGATGTTTACTAATTCTGTTGACAGTTACTGCATGGTTAGCACACGTATCCAATAGCTTAAATGATTACGTAAATGACTATTGCGGGATTAATTGTCAACGTTCATCCCACCGAAGTCTTATCTCTGTGTCATCATATAAAATGTACCGTATCTGTTCTGTTTTCCAGGAGAAGGAGGGGAAGAAGAAGAGCAGAAACAAAGAAGGTACTGTCACGTTCTCGTCAATATGACTCTTCTTCTTTTTTTTTTTCTTGCATTAACGATTTATAACACAATACTAATGTAATATTTCTTCCTACTGCTTGCTTGGACACACAAACTCGACATCTGCCTCTAACTGTCACTACATGGTAGGTACCTCTCTTATTCTGTGTATACTTTGCAATAATTAGAAAACTATTCTTAATTACTATTATTAGAGCACGATCACTTGTAGCGTGTACTATATACATTTCTTGCATGGTATCATTTTAACACGTTTATATCATCTCTTCTCTGACAGTCTGACGTCTAATTATTTTTGCGTGACTGCCGACACGCGTTGTACGTCTCATAAGACACAGTGTTTGTATGTATATGTCACTTGTAGATCTCGCTCGTCGGTTGGAAGAGTATGTTACCATGTGCAAATTGGATGTTTACAAATTCCTCGATAAGATTGGCAATTTTTAGTAGTATTGGTACGCATTATATCCGCGAATCTCACGAGCGTCTCACTTAGAGCGCGGCGTTTAACCATCGTCGAGTTGTCTTGCGAATTTCGAATGTGCACAGTCTCGATTCTCTTGCGTTTTTTTTTTTTCTATGTATCAGTCCATCTTAATACATGCAAGTACGGTTCCCACGTAAATGATTCGAGAGTGAAGTGAACGTTCTAATTCTTACTTTCGCAAGGACAAGTGTGTAGTTGGTATCGAAAGTTTTATTAATTTTGTGCTATATATACACGTAACATGAGGACCGAAATCTTCGTCAGAGATTCAAGCGAAGTGGAACAAGAGGATGCGCTGTCGAACGTTGTATCCGTATCCTCTGTCAGACCGCTTCGATATTTCTCGGAACGCTTGGTCGCCTTTGGCGCGTTGAACTGCGAAAAAAGTGAGGTCAGGAGTCCTAAATGGTACGTGTCTGTGGCGCTTTCAGACCTACTGGACGATCCCTCAGTGTTGATCGAGGGCGTGCTGTTCCGCGCGAGATACTTGGGATCCACGCAACTGGTATGCGAGGGTCAGCCGACGAAGTCGACGCGAATGTGCCAGGCGGAGGAAGCCGTCTCCAGGATAAAGGTACATATGTGGAAACACGTTTTTCTGTTTTTTTTTTGTAATTTTATTTTAAAACCGATATATACATATATACATATATATATATATTATTATTATTCTCCTTAAACTAATATCACATATTTTTACGAGATGTGTATATATATCTGTACGATTATATACAAATATGTGTATATAAGAGCACAACTTATATCTCTCGTGTATAAATAGATTATGTATATGAGGACACTTTTTTTTTTTTCTAAAGATATGCGAAGCGTTGAAAAAAGATCATTGAGTACAGTATGAATTGTTAAGTGATGTAAGTCACTGAGAAAAAAACATTATATACGTTATTTTCCTAGAGTACATTTCTTTTCATTTTGTTCGTTTCTGAGAAGAGCAGTAACTACTAATTAAGTAAGCAGGTCGTGATTTGTCATAGATAATGCATCCGTATAGCAAATGACATGTGATTGTGTTTATATATAATGTTTGTTACTGTTAAATAAATTGTTCTGTTGATCCGTTTAGATCGGTGCTTTCTAGTACTAAATTTTTGAGAGGTGCATAATAATAGTTTGAAAGACGAATATTTAGAATTCATATTGGCTATATGATGCAATTGTTAATTTTTCACGATTGACCGTCGAAGTATAAAACTCGAGTGTATTAGAAGATCCCTTAGAGGATATACGAAAAATAACGTATATTTGCTTCTCAGGGAACTACTAGAATATTGAGCCACGAATAATGATGATAACGAGAAATTTAGCAGCATGCTCTGAATGCTTTATACTCTTTTAATTTGCTACTTAATTTGTAGTGAATAACAGTGCAATATACTCATCTGCAATAATGTACTTCAATGTTAAAGATTTTTAACTTTTTGAGGACTCTTGAGATTATAATTATTATTTCTCGTCGCGATCGCAAATTCATTGATAATTGCGCGAACGAAAAGTAATTTGCGCGTCGAATCGGCGCGCAATCTTGTCGCGTATTAAAGTATCTCGCTAATACTGTTACTTTTTCGAAAGCAACGATTGATGGTAAATCTGTGTTACCTCAAATGGTTAAAATGTTAGAATCTTAAGTGATTAGTTAAACCTGAGAGTTTTCTGTAGGAAAGATTACTGTCCATTCAGTCGTGTCTCGAAACTCATTTTCCACTTTGATTCTCAGTAGATTCGAGATCTCTTGCAAGACCTTAGATAGTTACGCCGGACTCTCCCTAGAAGACAATACGACACTCGCGTTTACCTGAGGCATACATTTCCGCCCGGTTATCTCATACGTTCGCTGTTAACGAGTTGTTACAGGTGTTACTTTCTATTTTTCGATTTGCACATTGCTCTTCGCGTAACTTCCGGTCGCGCCGATCAGTATCTCTCTCTCCCTCTCTCTCTCTCTTACACACACACACATTCTCTCTCTCTCTCTCTCTCTCTCTCGCTCTCTCTCAAGGAAACGATCGATATATTAAACGAACGCGAAGCAGTAAATTCTTTCCTCCTGCTCTTAGGTTCCGCTCGTGTGAGCGATCCACCGTCAGCATTTAGATAATTCTCTTCACCGTCTGTGATCTCGCGTCATAAATAATTAACGATAATTCTTTACGACGATTCGGGAGACTCGGCCCTCGAGCTGTGACTCATCGAGTACTTCTCTCCTCGGAGAAAAGGATCTGAATGCTGATTTCTGACTATCTATCTGATTACGATTAATCTAAATAATTGTGAACTGGCCGTTGTGCAAAGAGGCCTGAATGTTTCAGTGTAGCGCCCCCTTCCTCACATCACCAACACCACCACCACCTGACCACCGAACACTGTCATCTTCTCAGTGTAACTTTGATGTTATTTCTGTGTGTGTGCGTGTGTCTGTCAGTCTTTTTCTGTTTATCGATCTCTCTATCTATCTATCTATATCTGCCTCTGTATCTGTCTACTTATGTCTTCCTCTTTCTCTGTCTCTCTTTGCGAAATATTTTTCTATATATTTGCTAGCCGCTTATGCTACATTCGCTTCCCCGTAGATTCTTGATTGGCATATTTCACGCACAAAAGATCACAATACATGGAAGATGCTGGTTTACTCGGTGACTACACCTTCCTCGTGTGTTTTGCCTTGGATATAATAAATTGTAGTCTTGTTAAAGTGGACGTCAAGAACGATGCCTTGTCTTGTTAACGAAGACGTATTTGAGCGAAGTTTCGGGAAATTGCCAAAATTCCATGCGACACTCCACTTTTGAGGGAAGAAAGAGAAACGAAGTAAACGAGATATAAGTAGAGCCAGCGACGCCTGTGGCCTTAACGCGACGGTATCCTGCAAGACTGAATGTAATTAGCCACCTGTGTATATTCGTTCGTTCGAACCAGACTTTACACAAATGTAGACGGATAGAGAGATCTCTTTGTGATATCTTGTTGTGCAGCATGAAGCGAGAAATCACACAATGTAGTTGAGTGGACTATAGGATTGCGGGAACGAGACCGTCTTTTCAGTTTCCGACGCGGGGATATTTCAATGTCACTCAGCAACGGAGGAATCGATGATCGCGCTTCCATGATCGAGCACGCGTTAAAAACGAGCTATTCACAATTCATCCAATGCCCGTGGCTTTTGGCACACGGTATTCAAACGGCTTCTCGTCCACGGGATTTCTATCATACACACACGCATCAGTTTGGTTTCAATAGTACATGCATGATAACCTGATTGATTGATTACAACGCTACCAAGCTGGACTGTAGTGCATACAGTGTAGCGATTAAGAGAACGATGGTGATGATGATGCGGAGGATTAATTAGTTGGTAAATTGTTTCGGCGATGGTGCGCTAAAATCTCCTCTCACGCGCGCGAGTAAAATTGTTCTGCGGAGAGAAGCGTCATGAAATACGACCGAAAGACACAGCAATTTACTTTCATATTTACCACACAGAACAGTGAGAAAATTAATTTTCCTCTGCGCGAACGGCTCTCTTAAATTTTCTTTGTAACTGATATGAACGAATTAACATTATATAAAGCTCGCTTCTCTCTCTCTCTCTCTCTCTCTCTCTCTCTCTCTCTCTCTCTCTCTCTCTCTCTCTCTGATGTATCTTTTCAGTAAGCCACATTCATTTTTTGCGTTTGTCCCGTGCTTCTCGCAAACGGACTTCTCTCATGCCTGCATCCGGGATTTCTGCAGCACGCTTTGCAAACAGGCACTTCGGAATTTAAAGCTCATTGCCGCGGCCACGTGTGCAAAACGGTAATTCTGCATGCGTCGCTGTTCGGTCGTCTTGAATTCTCCATTTTCGACGTCGCGTAAATCGGGTTGATTGAAAAAAAAAATTCGATTGCTCGTCAGGCTAACGGAGCACTGCCGAGAAGCTACAAGTTTCGAGTTGCTGGGCGAACACCTTAGAGACACGTTATCGAGACGGGAGAAGAAACGCTATAAAAAAAGGAAAAAAAATCACTGTCGATACATGTTTTCCTTACGGCCGGATCCGTATATGCTCGTTCATCGACTTTTACCGTTCCGTAGCGTATACGCTTGCACGTCGCACCAGCTTCTAAATACTTCGCGAGAGCTTGCTCGAAGGCAGAAGATTGTATTAGGAGAGTCGCATCGTACTCAAGAAAAGTGTATGTGGTGTGTGTGCGTGTGTGTGTGTGTGTGTGTTAATTGACAGAAATCGTACGTATGCATCTGTGTGTGTATATGTGTATTTGCGTGCGTGTATGTGCGAGTATGAGTGATTTCGACTCGGTATATTACGATCTAGAAGGACACACAAGCATGTGATGACACACCGTGCATAGAAGCGAGGAAAATTAAAGGAAAGAAAAGAAGAGAAGAGAAAAAAAAACGGAGAATGGAAAAAAGAAAAGAAAGAAAAAAAAAATGCGGAGAAGGAAAGTAAAGATGTCGAGTCGCGTCAGCGTCTCTCGCGCGCCATGAACTCTTTCTCTCTCTCTCTCTCTCTCTCTCTCTATCTATCTATCTATCTATCTATCTATCTATCTATCTATCTATCTATCTATCTCTCTCTCTGTCTCTCTCATGAACAATTGGCTCTTTTGCCTCTCGTTCAGTCGGTGGTGCGTGGCGATGTGTGACTAGCAGAGCCTTTGTTTGTTTGTTTGTTTGGCGCGTGCATAACGGAAGGACGGGCCAGTGCCGATGCAGGCAACGCTCTTAAACTATGGGGGGCAGCATGGGTATGGTCGCTGCAGCATTGCCTCGCAAGGAAGCCTAGAGGAGGACGAGTGCGACTCGAGCGAAGAACTAATAGGGAGCGCTTCTGGTGGGGGCCAGTCCGAGTCGCTTGGGGCCCAGCCGAAACTGGCCCCGATCAGTGGCTGCTTGGGGCCCACCACCGTTTTCAGACTACAGTTTCTCGGGTCGGTGGAGGTGGAAGAGGAAGGGGGACGTAAACGGCGTAAGCGCCTTAAGAACCACATGGTGGAGGAGGCAGTGACGAAAATAAAGGTCCGCCTTGCCCTTCATCTTCCCAAGACAACAACCACCCACCTACCCTGGTCATCATCAACCCCCTCTACACCCCCCGCTCCCCCTGAAGCCCCCTTGTCGCTGTGTAAATCCGCCGACCGACCGACTGACTGCCCTTTCGTACTCAACTGAAAAGAGCAGTCGCTCGTGCGGTCGTTCGTTTCATCCCTCTTCTGTATTATTGATTTATATAGTGACCGACGAGACACGCGTAATGAAAAGAAAAAAGGAAAAAAAGACTCAACTCACCTCTCACAGCCGTCCCGTCGGCCCTTGACGTACGTTCGTTTGTTCTTTACTTTGCTCCGGTGCTAAATTTACCGCAATCTACTCCCCCTCTCCCTCCCCGTAATTGCACTTTTTTCGATCACCGAGACCGAGATATTTGTTATCGCATTTTACGACGCACGCATATATATCCTCCTCGTTAAATTGGTAGCCACGTGAAAGAGTCTATATATCTCTCTTTCTTTCTCTCTCTCTCTCTCTTTCTCTCTCTCTCTCTCTCTCTCTCTTTGTGTCTCTGTCTCTCTTGCGAATTTAACCGAGGTCAGGTGAATTTCGCCGGACCGTTATCTGTCAAGCTCTCAGGTTTGACAGCGCCGTTGATGACGCTTAACTTTACACCGTTCACACTTGTTCGTGCACCAGTTACTTATTTACTTACTTACTTACTTTATTAGTGGATTAAGCGCTGTATGTGTTCGACTTAATTGTAAGGCTCGAATGTCTATAATTAATTACTCGTTCTCTCTACTTTATCACACATGCTGCTTCCTCGTGACAGGCGTTGGTACGTATACTCCCCCGAAATCAGTGCGAGCTAAGCGAATGGCACAGAGAAAAACGTGAGCTTAACGTAAGCCAAACCCTTTAGCCGAAGTAAGCTTAGGAAAGCTAAGTCTGACGTAAATTAAATGTGAGCTATGAAACTTCAACGATAAGCGGATCGTTCGATCACACGGTCGAGAATTTCAACAGGATAGTTTTACGTTTTCTTCTTAGGGTCTTAGAATGACTTTCACCAAACTCTGATCAATGAATGATAATAAGAATTGTCAACCAGTTTGCGGTACTTTAAACTTGTCATTCGACAATAATCGAACAGTGAATCATTTCTGTCTATGTTCGTAGCGCTATTATCCGGTCGAGTCCAGTCACTTAAGTCATCTATTGTCACTTTTTCTTGACAGGTCACTGGAAAATTCACTGTCGTCCAAAACGGGCTATCATAGCCATTTTTTCCTGAGCTGCCATTACATTTGCAAAATGCAGACGTTCTATATATATTTTTGCCGTCTCTCTCAATAAAACTGCTTCGAAGTGTATTTATATTATTCATGCCTTTGGTCTTTCCTTATTCTGAACTTTTAAATCGTATTATGAAAAGAATATGTTATATTTTAAATTATCCAAAGATAAATCTGGGGAGGTAAGAATGAGTGTTATTCTTTTGCGTAAACGGCCTTGGTTACTCTCAGAACTTGACACAAAATATCACTTGATCACTACTTTGATGTCTGAGAGGTCACTTTTTTTCTCACCTTTTCTATTAAGAAGCAATCACTATTTCATTTTTTTTGTTCCGCTGTACCCGGATGGCAATGTTGCATTAGCAAGGTAGAGCAGGTGACACTTGAGACTGACAGCGATTTTAAATCGCCGATTAGCTCGATCGGAGTTCGATTGAAAGTCGTTCTTACCGCTTGCGTTTTCCTGTGTGCCACAGTCCTGAGGACTTTCCGCATTTTCTGAAACGTTTTGCGCTGCTTGTTCAGGCACCGGACGGTGACACTCAGCCGAGCACGGAGGTGGACCTGTTCATCTCGACGGAAAAGATCATGGTGCTCAACACCGATCTGAAGGAGATCATGATGGATCACGCTCTGCGCACGATCTCGTACATAGCGGATATCGGCGACCTGGTGGTGCTGATGGCGCGGCGGCGCTTCGTGCCGCACGAGATGGAGGAGGTCCCGAAAATTAACAGAACTCCGAAGATGATTTGCCACGTTTTCGAGAGTGAGGAGGCTCAATTCATAGCACAAAGTATCGGGCAAGCATTCCAAGTAGCTTACATGGAGTTCCTAAAGGCAAACGGGATAGAAGACCATAGTTTCGTTAAGGAGATGGACTACCAGGAGGTGCTCAATTCGCAGGAGATATTCGGCGACGAGCTGCAGATGTTCGCGAAGAAAGAGATGCAGAAAGAGGTAAACTCCCGATGTGATTTCGCGAAATTCTCACGTAACGGGGATCTCTCTCCCGATTCCTCTCTAGCTGCAAAATTCAGAAGACACCTTCACGAAGCACCCAAATCCGTGGTCGAAACCATGAATGCGGCCGAACTCTTCAAGTAGGGGGGGAGACCAGGGCCAGAAGCCACGCTTTTTACGTTCGAATTAAAATAAAACAATATATACGATATTTCATAATATGTTATAAAATCATTCTATCCTAAGGAGGTTAAAAATATTGAATGACGTGCCGCAAAAGTCTTCAAAATTCTGAAAGAAAAAAACTAATTTTTTTGAACCACAATAAAAAATCCGGCTGTCACCGGGGATGTCTCGTCCGAAACCGAACAACTTCCTCCTGAAATATTTGTTTCCAAGTCGTAGAAAAAGATTTTGGCCGTTTTTTTTTTGGCCGAATTTGGACGTTTCGCAATTGTTACGTCGTCGTGTCGAATTTGTAAATTATTCACTATTATTAGTGTCATCGTGTCGACTCTGTAAATTGGATCAGCAAGTGCAAATCGCCGGGTTGATTGCATGCACACACTCTTTGTCTTATTGTGTAACCATAGCACAGAAGTCAGCGTCGTTCTACTTGCAGGTAGTGGTACCGAAAGCGAAGGGTGAGATTCTCGGGGTCGTGATCGTTGAGTCTGGATGGGGCTCGATGCTGCCAACCGTAGTCATAGCGAATCTGGCGCCGGCCGGCGCCGCCGCACGTTGCGGACAGCTTAACATTGGCGATCAGATAATAGCGATTAATGGTGTCTCATTAGTCGGCCTGCCTTTGTCCACGTGTCAGACTTATATAAAGAATTCGAAGAATCAAACGGTCGTCAAGCTGACTGTCGTGCCGTGCGCACCCGTTGTTGAAGTGAAAATCAAGAGACCCGATACCAAGTATCAGTTAGGATTTAGTGTACAGAACGGAGTGATATGTAGTCTATTGAGAGGCGGTATCGCCGAACGGGGCGGCGTGCGGGTGGGACATAGGATAATTGAAATCAATAATCAGAGTGTTGTTGCTGTACCGCACGAAAAGATTGTTAATCTTCTGGCCACATCGGTGGGAGAGGTATGTAGAAAATGCGTCCTGCGGACGCTCTCTCTTCTTTTTCCTCTTCTTCTTCTTCCTCTTCCTCTTCTTCTTCTTCTTCCTTTTTTCCTTGTTATCATCATCACCTCATCGTCCTCACTCTCTCGTGATACTTTCCGATCGACTTCTCTGTCCGGTTCGACTTCGCGAGAAGCAGAAAAAATGTTATATATATATATATATTATATATATATATATATAACATTTTTTCTGCTGCATATATATATATATATATATATATATATATGTATGTATATACATATGTACATGTATATACACAGTATGGTGTGATTGTTTGTTTTTTAGATTTTGATGAAAACGATGCCCACGTCGATGTTTAGGCTGTTAACCGGCCAGGAGTCTCCGGTGTACATATAAAAGCGTTCAGTTGCCTGGCTGATGCGTAGTGAACAGACAATACATCCGCCATCCACTACCATATTATCCGCTATCTTTACTGTACAGGTTATTCAATGCAAAAAGTCGCTTTGTGTTTCGATTCTTATGGAAGACAATTCGTACGTTCACCAGCTCCTGCTTAGTAAACGAGACTACGTAAAATAGGTACGTCGCAGAAACGTTACTAAATATTTACTCAAGCATAATTTATATAATTATTGATTACTGTAAGAGATCTATATATATAAATATATATAAATACATATATATGTGTATATATATGTCCGTATATATATATATATATATGTGTGTGTATATATATACACATAGTATCAACTAATGAGATTCTCTATAACACGGACATAAATTTTCCAAATTTAGCGAGCGCCTTTTTCCTCCCCTTCCCCCAACGTATATCCCACATACGTAAACACACGCGACGTTTGATCTCTCTATATATCTCTCTCGTTGCCAAATCGTGCGAAGCACCCACGATCGTTGTTAACCACCGCGAATTTGGTCTTGCGTTGTGGGCCCGTTCGTAATCATGCCGATCGAGCGAGAGGCAGAGATACACTCTCGCTCGCGACAGCCAGTAAACCGGATGTTACAGAGAATCACATTATACTCGCGCCAAGGAAGATGATAGGCGATGCAGGTGATGCAGTTGCACATGATTATAAATAGCACAAAAGCTCTTTACCAACGGCTGGAGCGGCAGGGGGCTGAACTGTATATTACATAGTTAATGACGTAGTAATATTTATAAAAAAAAAAAGGAAAAAAAAGAGAGAGAGAGAGAGAAGAGGATCTCCTTCTATCGTGGGGGGACACTTTAAGCTAAAAGCGTTTATTTAATCTTTTTTATCTTTAAGGCCGACGAATGCGTGCTCGCGGCGCGCGCGCGGTGCCGGTGGATGTATTAATTTGTACTAAAATTACTATCTAACGTAGAGAGAGAACTTCGGAGCGCGTGAGGTCTCGTGATAAATGCCGTAGTAATTATATAGAAGAGCGCGCGGTCACAATGTTCTATAATGCGAGAGATAGACAGAGGAAGGAAGAAAGAAGGAAGGGAAACGTTTTTTTTTTTTTTTTCTTCAAACGAGTAGATAAATTCCTTTTGCGATAATATAGATATATATATATATATATATATATATGTATATGCATTCAGAGATGACTCATGTGGCGGGATTTCCGTCCGATAATCCCGCGTGTTTATCGAGACGGAAATGCCACTGAGCAGATCTTGTATGCCTACATACCGCTTGATCGAGGCTGTTCTATGACGTATTGATACTCGGCTGTATAACGGAAACGAAGCTAGTACGTAGCGCACCGCCATGATATTCCTCCAAGCGACGCTTCTCAAGGTCCCTACGCGACACGCTTACCAACAAGCTGCCTTTCGTGAGGAGCACGAAGAGGAGGTGTGAGAGTGTAAGAAGAGACGTCGTCTCTCGTGCTTGATCCGTCTCAAAGATTCGAGGCGATTCTCCGACCTCCCTCGCTCCTCACGAACGGCGGTCGACCACTCTCCTGTTCTCGACGAGTTCTCGTCGATCATTCGTTTGCTCTCGGTCACACGTTGATGAATGTTGAGAAATGGCTGTGTATCTGAAAGATCCTAGACTTCGTAGATGTAAGGTCGCATTCGCGGCCACAGATATTCTAAACGCATGTCTTAGACTACACGTTCTCCTTTTGATATTTTAGAAGGGAAAAAAGAAAAGCCTGGCCGCACCATCCTCGCTTGCTTCAGCGAAAAATTCCACGTGCGCGTAGAATATCGTACGAGAGAGAGAGAGAGAGAGAGAGAGAGAGAGAGAGAAAGAGAAAGAGAGAGAGAGAGAGAGAGAGAGAGAGAGAGGTGACGCTTGAAATTCGAAATTCTCAGCGTGAGCCGTTCAAAACTCAGCCGCTTTAACGAGCCGAATCGTGCCGGCGAGTCTCTTCTACTCATCGTTCACCCAACGAGTTAGCGAATGGCGAATTAGCCGAACCGGCTGAAAAGAACAGACCAGAAACATTAGCAGTCGGCGGCTCTTGGAAGGCAGATTCGTTCGGACGAGCTCTGAATCCAGCGATGGGATAATTATTGCCGTGTAATTTCATTCAGACGCGATCAAGTGCTCTCGAAACGACGGATCTTGCTCGATTTTCGCCGCTGTTCTGCCGTCACTACTACGCAATCCGTTCCCGATACGCCACCGACCAAATTTGCAGCAAATACTTCGCGAAACCCGTCTCTTCGGACGGTGAACGCTCGCTCTCTCTCTCTCTCTCTCTCTCTCTCTCGTCTCTCTCTTGAAATCTTCCCAGAGGCCACTGCGAAGCGGTGCCCGTCTCGGTTCGGCAAATAGTAGTACCACCCTCGAGCGATCCCGCTTAGCCCCGTCTGCTTTCGCGAGAATTCTCCGCGGGAAATCGGCGAAATCGAGAGAAGAGAGCGGTGTGAAGTCCTCGATCAGCGGGACTCTCGATCTTGCCAGGTGAAGTCCCGCTCGATTCGCCCGTTTCTCGCGGGTGCACTTGTAGGAGAGCCTTCGCAAATTCGTCGGAGTAGCTTTAGCGACTATTGAGAAGGGCTTGTAGAAAGGCTTGTAGATGCTTGTCTAATCTCTATCGGCTCGCTAAGTCTTCACTCTCACCGTGTATGATGTGAAATATGTAAATTGTACTCGACGCGATGTGGCTTCGCTGCATAGGCATGCAAAGTGACAGATCTAGCCGCTCCCGACTTGTAACCCCCGTCAGTGGAAAGAAAAATACCTTCGAAAATACACAGACTGACTCGCCTCCACGTGTAACGGAAGAATAAGATAAATTACTCATTTCAGGAATCGCGTAACGTCACGAGAATCGTAACGCTAGAGAGAAATAAAAAAAAACAGAGAGAGAGCGAAAGAAAAGGGAAAAGGAACGTCCTCTTCTATATAAGTACTATATGCCATAATAATCTAAGTTTTATCTATTTTTGCTGAAGATTTCTCACCTTCGAGCTATTCTGCTTCAAATATCAAGAAGTGTGCGATGATACAAATTTCGAGATTCCTGATGTCTGATAAAATTTCAATGCCAAAGTACATTAAGTAATAAGGCGTAAGGACGGGAAGGACGGGTGGGGGGTATGCATAGTTTTTTCCGACGACTGGAAAGTTACACACAGATTCTGTCTGGGAACGTGCGAAAAAAAGGAAGAGGCGGAGGAGAAAGAAACGAGAATATGCGGCGTATTATTCTGATTTGCGAGAAATTTGAGCTTGCGTTGTCTTCGCTTCTGGTAACGTTCAGACGCATAAGTGTAATAGGATTTATATGTGTTCATACAGTGTCATAATATATATCGTATAAAGCAAAAGAGAAACGAGAAGAAACACGAGAAATAACTCAGACTTGTTTCGACGAGCCGCTGATTTCGAGCTGTGAGGTCGAATCGCGAAGCCGGTGTTCGATCTCGCGCAGGTATGGAAGGCGCGAAAACGAACACCTTCCCGTCGTGTCGACGCGACAGACATGAGTTTCCAGAGTTCAAGCCATTTGTTTTTTCTTTCCGGTCGCCAATATCCTCGGAGGGGATCTCTGATTTGCCATATAGATAGACGCGACATTTCGTACGGAACGATTCTCGGGAAGGGCGGGGAGGGTAACCAGAGAGAGTGCGTGTGTGTATATACAAATTTCTCATTGTCTATATAATTACTCGGTTAATGTAAGAGCGTGCAAAGGAGGGCCCGGAAATCGATCTTTCGCACGACGAAGAGGAGAAGGAGAGCCCCGTGGAGGATGGTTACGTGGGAAATGTCCCGGGAGACAGAGAGAGATATATATGTACATGTACAATGTATCTACGATAATTCTATTACTTCTTCGCTGAAGGGAGAGAGAAAGAAAGAGATATAGCGAAGCAGCATATTACGATATTGCATATCATGGGGGGAGAGAAACCGGATATATCATCGTGGTGGGCGACTACTTCGTTCTTTACGGACAAAAAAATTGTAATCTAAGCGAATACGCGCAAGAAAGTATTATCCTTCGCTGGAGGTCACACACATACACACCAGGATCTAAGGAGTTAAATCACGGATCACATACGTTATAGGACAATGAATTTTGGCATAGAAATTTTAACCATATATTCGGCGAGCAACAAGAGCGGTATGAAATATAATATATGGGATCAAACAAGATGTTATATATTGGGTGGCTGAAACTTATCTAGTCATTACGCTAAGAATATAAGACGACCGTGTATTTATATATACATACTTACGTGTATATGTATATATAAATATATAAGAAAATATAAATAAAAAGTATATATATATATATATATATATATATATACAAAAGTAAGTTAATACTCTCAGCCATCGCAAGCCACCCTGACTGAATGTGTCTAGCCACATTTTAAATGATAACATCTGCAACTTGTACTGTCAATCTGGCCTTGCGTGGTCATTATTTCATTATATATGTGTTCGTTCAAAGCGAAGCGCAATAGCATTGTTAAGCCGCCATTTATTACGCATCATTCATTGTCCCGAATGATTTTAAGTAGACTTCTCGTTTCGAACAATTCATAGAAACAAAATGAAACGGTTACTGAAGTAAGTGGCTTATCAAGATAATTATGAGTATATATCAATTAATAAATGCACATTAGATCCGTTCTTTTTTTTCTTTCCACGAATTAACTGTTCCGATATTCCATCGATATTCTCTCTTCGTGCAAATCTTTTTAATTCGCTTTTCTAGTTTTTCTACGATTATTATGTAATGAATAAGTTATGCCAATTGACGCGAGGAGGAGGAGAAGCGAGGAGATTTCTCGTTTCGTTTGAATCTAAATGTGCACGCGATTAAGCCGAGGAACTTTCGTCGATTAATTACTTCGGAACGTTGTAAGATACTTGTATCACGCTCACTCTTCGACAAAGGCAATACTGATTATGCCTGATTTGTAGAATATATTTGGTTAATAACGAGGTATATATATATATATACACTTTACATTGTTAAGCCTTATGGAAATATGAGGAATGATGATCGTGCAAAGTCAGTATGAATGATAGACTCAAAATTGCAGTCAGAGTCGTTAATGAAATAATCGAGACCCAACCATACGGACATTTACATACACGCGTGCGCGTACGCATACACACACACACACACAGATACAATACCCTACACATTCATAAAAAATAAAATTAATTATATCTTACACATATATAGAGCTTGCGCTGTAGCTTCACCAGTCATGAGACATGCTACAAGATATCATGACTGTCTTTATCAATGTTTGTGAGTGTATAATAAGTTATAAATTATAAGTGAGCTATTGAATGTGTATATGGTATATGCTAGTCCATATTAAGATACAATAAAATGTAATTTTGAATTCAAACGCAGTTTTGTCTTCTTCCACGACGGCGAGGGCGCGCGCAACGTTCACGTTCCAGAGATACGGCTCTTTTCCCTCTTTCGCTTTTTTTTTTTTTTTTTTCAAAAGACTTCGTTTCCTCAATACGTGTTTCGCGTGACATGCGAAGCGAAGTGAAGTATACATGTATACGTCGCATGGCGCCGATATAAAAGCGGACTAAAATTATCCGGACTATTAATAACGAGCGAAATGAGAATAAAAGCGCCGACAAGTTTTTCTTGGAAAATTTCCTAGCTTTGTTGTTCTTTTTAGTACCGAACCAGTCAATGTTAACAAGGACGTCGCAGTTCGTTTTCATTTTTTTCTCTTCGAAAAACAATGGAACGGAAATGCGATCAAGTATCGATAAAACCCGCGTGTATGCTACATCGCGCGTCACGGAAATCGATATCGGTTATTTTTTTAATTAGTATTTTATCGGTACCAGTTACTGGCTCTAGCAATCTATTTCGTGGACTCGGCGACGCGTTAGGTGAAATTTTATTTATTTTAAATCGATAACACACGTCGATATCGTTCCTGTAAAAATCCTCCGATATGAACATGGCTAAGGCGGACATAGGTAGGAGAAGAAAATAACGTGCACTTGAGGATGAACTCTCATTTGAAACGTGATTTTTAGAAATTTCTTTTGAAAAGCTAAGTTATACAATTCTGAAGTTTTGCATAAATATATTTATCTATGTTTTAACTATATACATAGAACAGAATACTCATTATTATCTTCAATATTAATTAATCTGTCAATATTAATAAAGTTTTAAACAATTTTGTATAGCGTTGAAAGTTTTGTTTGCACGGTTGACACGATTCCAGATGACCCGCATGTAGCACAGTGACGTCAAAGGGCGTCATATCGACGTTAGAGATGTCATATTGCCGTCAATATAACGTCCTCTGACGTCAATCTGCTAACCGGTTATAGGCTTCTGAAATCAAAACGGCGAAAAAATGATTAAACCATAAACTTTTGTCTGTCATCCTTACCACAATGGAGAATAAAAACTGATTTCTGATAAAATGCCACAACTTGAGAGAAAAATCGACTTTTGGCCGGTTTTTTTCAGCTTTGGGAGCCCTCAAAAAATCCAAATATTAGAAAATATTGATTTCATCGTAGTAGGGACGATAGTTACAAGTTTACAGTTTAATAATTTTTTGCCGTTTTGGTGTCAAAAGCCCACAACGTCCGGGATCGTGTCAATCAACATTTCGCGTTCAGCGCTAACAAAATTATTTATAACTTTATTAATATTGAATATATTAAACTGCGTAGAAATTACTGGATATAGTTAATGCATAGATAAATATTCATGCAGAACTTCAGAAGTGCGTATAGCCTTCTCAGAAGAAATCTCCAACCATCACCTATCAAATTTAACACTCCAAATATTTCCTTAACCAGCGATACCTAATGTAACGTTCATCATTTGGCATTTAACTCTTTCGAAGTCTTAAATAATTATTATCAGAACAGAATTCATGCGCGCTAATAGCTCACTTCGCAATAGCTTTCGGATAATCCTCTTCGTATTGATGCGATGACGCGTATACATACAATAGAATGATCACTCTTATATCCCAAACTCTTAATAATAATCTCTTTATTATTGCAGATTATCTACAATTGTTTTAACCGATCCCAGTGTCCTTGAATTACAGAACCTCCCGAATTGTCGTAATAATTATATTCAAAGGTGATTCGTAACACATCTTCGCTTTTTTTTATATACTAACTGGTTGTATGTGTCTCTCTCTCTCTCTTTCTCTCATTAGCTTTGTTGCATTGACATTATTATTCTCCCGTAGTTCATCGAGCCAACAGACCCGTGATGAGAATATATCAAACATTCCTATCGCCGATATATGTACTTCCTCTGGCGTCGCCGAGACTCTTCATTACCTTCCTATTTAATTACACAATGTACGATATCTGTAAATTTAGCTATTTCTTTCCGTTCGTTCGATTCCGTTGTGTCGCGTGATCATTGATCTGATCACATGGAAAATATTTATGTATACATAAGTTACTATATATTTCACACACGGTGCTCTCTATATATGTAAATAATCGTCGTAAAACCATAATTATATATATCGGATTCGATTTTTCTTACGCGGAAATTTATTATTACACATACTCGTATCTTTTAATAGAACTTGCTTATTGCGACACGCAATAGAGGACCGTTCTATTCTTTTCTTTCTTATTTGTATTTACACATTAAGTAATCGTTTGGCAATTATCATTAACATAATAATGGAAGATTCGTATTCACTTACAATCCATCTTATGTGAGCAAAGCCAATTATTCGAATGCTTCTTATTATGGCATTATTACACTTTGGAAATCAAATCCTCGTGGTGATATATTCCCTACACCTCGCGAGAAAGACCGTAGACGTTAGAAGACCTTTGAGTTTACACAGACTGCGAGGGGGTCCTTTTTTCCATAACTTCTTTTTTTTAATATATATTACCTATGACATTTGTGATAAATAACAGTTATTTTACCCATGTAATTTTTTTATAACGATCGCTTTTATATCCATTCTCTATTCTAAAGTATGCAAGAATACTTAAGTCTACGATGTATCGGACAGACAACCAGTTGGCATATGTGTGTGTGTGTGTGTGTGTGTGTATTATATATATATATATATATATAATTTTTATATTGTATAATATATATATATATAATTTTTTTCATTAAAGAAAAAGAATTTCATATCTCAGAACGCGTAAGCTGTTCAACTCCACTACTAGAGACAATACACTAGAAATAGAAAAAAGTATAAATTATAAATTGCACGAAAGATTCCGCAGCAATATATTGAATACGAATCGTACGTTACACAATACCTTCGTCGCTTAATGTAACTTGGAACTTAAATTGTAACATAATTCATCGATACATATATATACATATATGTATATATCGCGTCCATTCGCCGACATTCTCCGAAGTTTCTCAATGAGCGGTTGAATAAAATCCAACGGTGCTTTGTGTACTCCCCACGATATAGAAAATATCCATTCTGTTTTACTCTTACAAAACTTTTATTATTTTTATAGCAAAATTGTGGACACAGGTGCGGGATACGCAGTTGGTGCGGGTAAGGTGATCAGAAGTCTGGGACAGGTAGGAATAACGGCGCTTCGCGTCGTAGGCGATCTGTAAAGGCTGAGATCAGTTGTCCATAGCGTATCTCCGAGTCCATTCTTTGGCATTGCGTATCGCTTCGCTTTCGTTGACCTTCCAAAGTTCAGCTACATCGTTCGCCAAAGGATCGTCAGGATTCGGCGCGCTCAGAAGCGCCTGTATGGATAGCAAGACTGTTCTGATTTGAAGAGCCGGGCTCCACTTGTCCTTCAGAATGTCCAGGCAGATCCTGCCCAATCTAGAAGATTCGATTTCATTTGTATCCGGCGATATTCAGCGATACGCAATCGATTATCTCTTGCTTCCGTCTTAATCGTGTATCGTGTATTCTGTGCGAATGTACGCGAATTTCTTTCTCATAGTTATCTACAGTCTAATTAATAATTGATTGATTAGAAAAAAGAAGCGTGTTTGTCGGGGGTTAAACAGGGTGTTCCGGCGTAAAGAGAAGACCCAAATATCTCCTTTGTTTTTAATGATTCGAAAAATGTTTAGATGACTAAAAGAAATTTGCCTTCCACGATATTCCTCCTTCAAAACCATTCAAATTGTGCTCTAAGCATTTCTGATATCATTAGAAATGAAGATGGTCGGGTATTTTCCTTGTGCTGGAACACCCTGTATATGCATGTTTTCACGACTGAGCGTCGCGCAACAGATGCCAAAGGTTACTCAGAAGAGTAAATCTCTTGTGCATATTTGGACGATCAAAGTAGATCACAGTTTTCGTTTTTATTTACCTGTCTATATTTGGATGATATATTTTTGTAATGAACCTAACTTTAGGTGCGGACATTGGATAATCCTCTGGTAGGAACAACTCCAGCTTAAACAGTCCACCTTCGAACGGCGAGTCCTCAGGTCCCGTTACTATTACGTGAAAATATCTAGCATTTGTATCGTCCGGCACAGCACTGATACCAGGAACTGGTTCTTGCATTAATCTTTGAGTTTCTTTAATAATCCTCCTAGGTAGCGCTGCCATTGTTTATGCAAAGCTCTGTAAAGAAACGTGAGACAAAAGATTAGCTTTACCCATACAAATGCACGAAATACTCGGACGAAGGACATCTGAAGGACTCTCTTGGGTCAAAGCAAGATCTGCCTGAGATTAACCGAGAAACAAGCCTACTCCTTATATTTTCGTGCCACCTTCAAGTTCCACTTTTCGAGATGCATCGGTCTTTCATCGGAACTGAATGCTGAGAATCATCGAGAGAATACTGAAATTCTGTTTGTTCAGTCTGATCTCTGCTAAAGATCACTCCGAGAGTTCAAGCAGCAGCTTGAAAAAAAAGAGAGAGAGAGAGAGAGAGAGAGAGAGAGAGAAAGAGATACGATTGGCAACGAACCCGAGATACGATTTGCAGCACAAATTTCAATCCGAGGCCAATGTAATGACGGAGAATACCGTACACGTATCGTTCGAGCTCTGATCCAAATACCCGGTCTCGGCGCTAACTCAGATACGAGCGTTCGCGCCGCATCTCACGCTAGTGCCGCGGGGCCGAGGCGCTAACGAGAGAATCATCTCGCGGCAACATCGTTAGCATCCCGCATACACCACATCGGGAGAGCCTCGGCTCCCACCCAGTTTCCGCCGTGCGGTGCGAAACGCGCTGACTATCGCGCGACGAACCGAGCGAGTGTCCTGGCGAACGTCCAGGCGGTGATCGATAATCTTTTTTTCCCGTCCTATGAACGGATCGGCTACGAGTTGACAGCGTTGACAACTCGCCACACCGCGAGAGAGAGAGAGAGAGAGAGAATGGAGGGGAAAGCCGAGAGACGAAAGGGAGAGAGAGAGAGAGAGAGAACGCGTATATATCGTTCATGCACGTACATCTCTCCGTGCCTACGTGTATGTATGCCCCCGTGGTGCACAGTCTCGTGCGCGTAGGTGGTCAACGCGAGTAGATAGATAGGCATGCGTGTGTCGCGTATGCGTGTGTACGCGCGCGGACCCACGATGCGCGTTGCCAAGTGTCGGGACACGGTCGGCATCGGCGGCGAGAGAATCTCGCGTCGGCACGCTCCTCCGCTGCTCGTGGGAGAGCGCGACAGGCCGCGAGGTCGCCGTGGGAATCGCCTTCGTGGCGTTTCCCGACGATGGCGCGGTCTGGTACCCGCATAAACAACGAAGAGAGCCAAGCGTGAAGCAAGCGACAATCGGCAGCTCGCCGCGCTTCCAGCCGTCTTTTTGCTTTTTCTTTCTCTCTCTCTCTCTCTCTTCGGATCGTCGTAGCGGCGATCGGCGGCGCCCAATATAACGCGCGAGCACCACGAGAGAGAGAGCGGCTAACTAATGCACCTCCTCCACTATCGTTAGCTCGCCGAGGTACGTACGATTTCTCTCCGCAAGTGCAGTACGGTAATCGCGTCGTCCCGCGGCACCCCGACAGCGAGTCGTCCAGCAATTCCTCCGGCCGCCTCTACGGCGCCCCGTGTTCCTCTAGAAGCCTCGAGCCGTCGTCGATTTTCCGAACGGTAACGCCGCCACCGTCGCGCGCTCTCCCAGTCGCCACCGCCGCCAGCAGCAGCAGCAGCAGCACCGCCACCACCACCACCAGCAACACCACTACCACCGCCGCACAGTCCTCCTCGTCGTCGGCCTGCCGATCCCCCGGAACGAAGAACCGGCCGGTGATCCGCGGTGACGCGCGAGGATGCTCGCTCGAAGCGCTAATTTAATTCCCACCCGTGGGCGATGCGTGCCGCGCGGATGGCTGATCGCTCTCGCTCGGTGGCCCTCACAACCACTGCTTTTCGCGATTCATCTTGTCACACCGATGGTGGCGCTGACGTCCGTCCGTCCGCTCGGCTGTCCGTGACGTTACACCCAGACCGGAGACGATTCGTCCAGATTCCGAGCGGTTTTGCATTGACTTTTTATCGGGAATCGTTCGGACCTCACGTTGCCGACGGCTGACGTAAAATTGCGAGACTGGCGACGATTCATGAGCCAGTTACGGGTGGTGAGTATTTCGGGGTTGCGGATTGGATGTCGGGATTCCACGAATCAGCGGCAGCGATCGTATTGTTTTTCCCTAAGGCGGAAACATGAGAAGTGAATATTTCCGAGGCCGATATTCATGGTCGGTCTTATGTATAAACAGTCTTAAGTTCGCCTTCAGATACTGTGCGGCTCGTTTCATTGGTTACAAAGCATCTGAAGATGAATTTGAGGTTAAATGTAAGATTTGACTATGAATACCGGCCTAAATGTTGTCGGATTAGATAATCTTCGCTTTTCGCGGGTTCACGCGAAAGAAAAAGATTCATGTCTCGCTGGAAGTCGATCGTGAATATTTTTCTTTGACACGAACTCATAAAAAATGGAAATTTTTTAATTAAAAAACATTTAGAAATGTTCACTCTTCACGTTTCCGTCCTAAGGAAGAATTGCGTTCGCTTTATCCCGATTGGCCGAGTTTTAATTTTCAGTATCCGGCCCAAGCTGAGATTTCGACAGGGGATTTCTAATGTCTCTAACATCTTCGCTGAGCACCCTAGGGATTTTCTATCCGACAGCCAATCGATGCGTCCGACGAACTCACACGACGAATGAAAACTTCACCCGATGCGGGCTTGAATAAACCCGCGCGAACCTGAAGCGTATTTCTTTTGTTTCCAAATAGCTATTCGCTGCGGAACGCATGTTTCTTTCGCGGTTGTGCTTTTAGGTTAAACGTGCGCGGATTGTCGATAAATACTCGTGACACACCGGTCGCCGAGAAAACATGAAGAATTTGATTGTTCATCGACAATACCGCCGACGTTTCTCATTCCGGGACAACGTCAAGGATGGCGATCAACTTTTGGATACGTACCCTTGGAAATGTGCTGTTAACACAAATAATGGAGATTTATATGTTTTGTTGGGCACTCGCCTCATCACTTTACCAGCTGATAGAGAATGTGATGTTAATATTTTGAATATTGCCGAATGCAAGGACTCGAAGGTTGTTGGATTGGAATATTGCATTACAACACAGCAATTATATTGCGCGTACGACAACGGTGATATCGCTACGTTCGACGCGACGAGTAAATATTCGAATTACTTTGAGTTCGAAGTAGTTGCTAGTTTTGACAGTGGCCTACAATGTATGAGACTTAGTCCGGATCATGAGATCATTACGGCCGTGACCGGCTCAGGAACTGTGGTTACCATGGTGTCAGATTTTCAAGTGATATCAGAGGTAACATTCAAGTTGAAATTGCTAATTTTTTTAATTACTAAAATTAATGCTGACATAGATTAACATAATAGTTTAGTTATATCGTCATTTATCCTTAATTCGTATTTGATAAAGAAAAGGATAATAGACAATGTGATTAGGCTTGTGTTGACTCGTATCTCTTGTTCGAAAGCAACATACGTATATATGTAATATTGAGCAATTAATATATAATCTTGTCAATACATAGTGAAATTATACTTAACTGTTACAGGTGGATTTATATTCATCAGACTTTGGAGAAAAGCAATTTATAACTGCTGGTTGGGGCAAAAAGGACACTCAGTTTCACGGTTCCGAAGGTAAAACAGCAGCTAAAGCCAAGCCGGAGCAAGTAAATGCGAATGACTCGGACGATAGTCTTCCCAGAATCACTTGGCGAGGGGATGGTACTTTATTTGCTGTCAGTTTTCTACACGCTGCGACCAAAGTTCGACAATTTAAAATATTTAACAGAGAGGGTATCTTGCAATATACTAGCGAGCCAACCAATGGATTGGAAGAGTGTTTGGCATGGAAACCATCGGGGAGCCTAATCGCAGCACCTCAGAAACTGATAAACAAGCTTGTTGTCGCACTTTTTGAGAAGAATGGCCTTAAGCACAGGGAATTCTCTCTTCCCTTTGGAGCGAAGGAAGTAACGGTATACTAATGACCGATAGCGCTATTTTCCCAGTGTCTCCTGTCGCTGCGAAAATCTTCAAATAGATGTTTTACAGGTGAAGGATTTGTTTTGGTCACCGGATTCGGACGTACTGGCTGTCGTTTGCAAACAGTCAGGCACAGAGAACATCACGTTGCAGTTATGGACCGAAAATAACTGTCACTGGTATCTCAAGCAGACCCTCAACTTTCTCGCTGATAATCCACTGGTGTACGCGACGTGGAGCCCTACGGGAAGATGCAACGAGAAGGAATTGATCATTGTAACATTGCGCGAGATTATAGTTTGCTCTTTCAATTGGTGCGTGAATCGCAGCAGAGGCAGTACCGTGAACGACAATACCGTGGTCGCTGTCATCGACGGAAGGAGAATATTGATAACGTGTTTCCGAGAGAAGATCATACCGCCGCCGATGGCGCAGCAGTGCCTGGAACTTGAAGAGCCAATAAACGCGATTGTCTTCGCGCCGGATGTCGAGAAGAAACGTTGGGTCAACAGCAATATATTTTGTGCTGTCTCGTGTAACAACACTCTGATAGTTTTCAAGCAGAAAGAGGCAAGTAAGATTGTGAGATCGTAACGCGAACTTATGCGTACGGATATTACTTGAAACGTTATGCTAGGTTATCGGTGCTTGTAGGATTCGCCCACGACGTACGAAATCCTCCATTCGTATCAATTTGGAGGACTGTTTCTGGAGCGGATGGAGGACTGCAGCACTTTTCAGCACTTCCTGTGGCTCGACAGATTGGTCATGCTGTACTCGAAGACCACGGACTCCGACAATCTCTTGTGCATGTTGTCCTTGGAAAATATGTTTCACTCCGACGGCAACATTTATACAGTGGACGAGCCGATAGAGCACATCGTACCTGCTGGTATGGACGCGGCTTACGTGATCACGAACAAGTCTGTGTTGAAGTTTACCGTGGACGAAGGACTGGTGCCGACGAGTATAGAATGGAAGGAATCGTGTTGCCACGTGGAGGTTGTGAAAATCGGCACGAGACACTTCGTCGTCGCTTTATCCCGCACGAATCGCTTCCTGATCGACGGCGAGGAAGTCGCCAATAACGTCGCGAGTTTCTACGTGCACTCGGCGTTCCTGCTTCTCACGACGCTCCAGCACACGTTAATTTGCGTCCCGTTGGACGAGAGCGGCATGGAGCGACTGAGGAAGCACGATCTGACCGTCAAGCCTTGGGAGCACAACGGCGGGACGTCGTTTGCAGGTGAGTATTTATCACGATCTTGTTCTCGCGAACAGCCGTTACATTCGATACGTCGCGAACCTATCGTCGCAGATATCAGCATCGGACGGGTGGAAAGGGGCTCCTACATAATCGCAGCGATACCGCAAAGCTCGAAGACGATCTTCCAGATGCCCAGGGGCAATCTGGAGTGTATAGAACCGAGGCCGCTGTTGCTGCACATAGTGGGCCTCCAGCTGGACAACTGCGACTATCGCACGGCGATCGACCTCGTGAGGAAGCATCACATTAACCCGAATTTAATACACGATCATAATCCGCAATTATTTACGAGCAACGCGGAGAAGTTCGTCGAAGGCAACGGGACGTCCAGTTGGCTGTGCCGCTTTTTGTCTGAGCTGCAGGACGAGGACGTCACCACGACCATGTACGCGAGTTGTTACCGGGGCCGTCGTACCGCACAGTCGGTGCCGACGAGTGACCGGCCGAGTGTCGAGGCTAAAATCGACAAGGTCTGTAGGATATTAAGGGACATCATGGAGAAACGAGACGACGCGAGTGAACTGATACAGCCGATCCTGCTGAGCTTGATGAAGAACAAGCAAGGTGCGGGGCTGCAGCTCGCCCTCGAGAAGTTCAAGAAGGTGAAAGCGGCGGAGGAGCCGGCCGTCGTCGAAAATGCGTTCGGATGCCTGCAGCTGGCGACGAACACGCGCGTTCTTTACGACACCGCGTTAGGCATGTACGAGTGCGAGCTGGCGATGTTCATTGCGTCCAAGTCGCAAATGGACCCCAAGGAATATATTCCGTTCCTGAGGGACTTGAGGAAGCTCGAAGAGAACCGCATGAAGTACTCGATCGACCTGCACCTTCGTCGCTACGAATCCGCGCTCGTACACCTGTCCAGAGTGCCGGGCGAGTTTGAGGAGTGCTTAGGGCTGATACGTGATCACAATTTACACGCGAGGGCGATGAGATTGTTCGAGCGGGGCAGCGCGGAGTACAAGAGGGTGGCTGGAGCTTACGGGGAGCACTTGTCGAGTAAGAGTATGTATCCGGAAGCCGCCGTTATGTTTTGCAGAAGCGGGGATCTCGAGAAGGCTTTGGACGCGAACATGGCAGCTGGCGATTGGCAGGGCTGCATCGTGGCAGCGACGAAGCTGAACTTGAGGTAGATATTCTCTGATTCTCACGGAGTCACGTATGCTGATGAATGAGTGAAATTGTAACGACTAATCATGCTAGTTCGAACTTTGTGTATACGCGCAGGGTTGAGTAGTAATTCGCCCAGTTCTAAGAGGTAAAAAGTCAATAACTTCGAACTTGGTTGAATGTAAATGAGGTAACTTTCGATTTGAACAAGTACGAGGGAAAACGAAGAAATTAAAATCTGTCAAATATTATTATAATGAACATTATATTTGCACCTTGGGCTGTCACTTTGACTCCCGTTAAAATTGGTCGACACCCAAGCTCGTCGACAGTGACTCCCAATCGTGATAGTTTGCCGCAGTGCCAATTTCAGTGCGTGCAAACTGTTTTGCTTCCCGTTTGCTTTGCGTACGTACTAGAAAATCGCCACTAAAATCGATTCGATGCGATAGAAAAAAGCGATTCAAAGCAATATCTCTTCAGCCCTACAGATTTACGCGAGCTCTACAGAGAGATAGTGAAGCGTCTGACAGCGGACCGGAAGTACGAGAAAGCGGCCGAGGTATTGAGGTATTATTTGAACGACGCCGAGGAAGCTGTCGCGTTGCTGTGCGAAGGAAGGTACTGGAAGCACGCGATAAGGATTGCGCACGACGTTCGACGTTTGGATTTGAATGGTCGGTGAATGCTAAGCAAGAATCGATCGTTTTTCGCCCGGGAATTTTCTATTCTCGCAACAAGTCGGAAAATATTTAAAAAAAATCAAATGTCCCGCAGAATATATAAAATATCTGAAGTATAACGTTTTCGTCGATACAAAACCATCACCCATTTCATCGATATTCGATCGATACGAGTCTCGAAAAACCACTTGGAAATTGCTTATTTTCGAGGATTGAACAGAGATTCGGACGTGCCGGAGCAGTCGCTTGAATCCTACGCTTGCTTTTACAGACACGCACATCGTGCCCGGGGTGAAGGAGCACGCGGAGCACGCGATCGCGCGACTGCGCAGCGTCACGGAAGACTTCGTCAAGCACAAGTCGCGCCTCACCTCGGTGAGAGCCGAGATCAGTGCGAAACAGTCGTCACCCACGGCCAACGACATCGTGTGTCACGACACGCTGAGGTCGAATGGAGAAGTCACGGACTTTCTCAGCGATGCGAGCAGCGTCGCGGGTTCCGTCGCGAGCCAAAAGTCGCGGGTGTCCACGACTTCCGGGTGAGTACAGTACGCTTCTCTCTCTCTCTCGTGCATCTGCAACGATCCAAGATCTAAGCTGGTATTTATGGTCGGATCCTGTATCTAAGATCGTCTCAAGTTCATCTTCAGATTCTTTGTAACTGAGACGATCTTGACGCTCGAATAAGGTTCATCCAGTCACACGTGTGACAAGGTAGGTCGGATCCGACCGGTGGGAGCATTTCGTAGATTTCTCCACTAGGCGCTTTTTATTCCCGCAACAAGTCAGAAAATATTTAAAAATAAATAAAATATCTCGCAGAATATGTCAAATATCTGAAGTATAACGTTTCACCAGCGCGTGCGCGGGAGCATTAGAATATGGACCCGGTCGGATCCGACCGAACCTTGTTACTCAAACATACATAAGATCAGACTATGAATACTGCCCGTAATCTAAATTGCACTCTTCTCTTCCTCAGGAGAAGCTATCGATCCAGCAAGAACCGCAGGAAGCAAGAGAGGAAGCTATTCAGTTTGAAAGAGGGCAGCATGTTCGAGGACTTGGGCCTGATACACGCGCTCTACGAGATCGTCAGTAACGCGTGCAAACGCAGAGGTTCGTTCGGCGAAGCGATGCGATCGACAACATCGTGTTACTGTCAGGCTTTATGCCGGTAGAGCGAGATACATTCGTGATGTATTTCTTTCTCTCTCTCTCATTTGCAGATGAATGGTCAGAGCTTGTGGAAGCGTTAGTCCACTTCGAGTTCGACGACCGCGCAGCGGAGCTCCGGGATAAAATGCGCGGTTTCTTCAAATTGGTGGAGGTCAGTAAAGCTGAGATCTGGGACAGATCGGCGCCCACGAGTTTGAGCGAGATGGTGAGTGATCGTCTTTCCGAGAGATTCCGGCAGCTCTCTTTTCAATCTTGTTGCTCTTGCGTGCATTCATCTATTTATGGTTCGTGGCTGATTTTCAGGAGAAAATGGCAATTTACGCACCGGCGCAACTTCAAGAAGTGACCGCGCATCTGAAATTAGTAGGTGAGTCCTCGTGTGGCGAGACACCTGAGCGTTACTCGCGGTCCGATCTTGTATTTAAGATCATCTCGAATACATCTTGATATTTTGCGCAGTTATTAAGGAGTCTTAAGACAATTTCGCATACCAATTTAACTGAATGTCGATTTGAGAGAAGACTCCTGTCGGTATCTCAAGATAAATCTAAGACTATGTGAAATGCCAGACCGGACTGAATATCGCTACTAATATCAGATTAACAATCTTATCGTATTCATCGGTTCTTTAACGTGCGTTTCACCTTCTAGATATGTACATAACGCATCCGCCGCCTGAAGCTAGCATAACGCCGTGTATACTGGATATTTTTTAAATCTTATCTTTCTATCGGAGATTGCACGATATAAGTTTTGTAAAGAAATACTTGAAATAGTCAAAAGATGATGATAATTGTACTTGTCGTTACATAATAAATGGTGATGAGATTGAAAGGCAGAAGCAGTAATTGTGGTGATTTCACTTTTTATTTACAAAAGTACGGGGGGTGTATAGTTAGTAATTTAATCTAAATCATTACATCGGTATCCTTATCACGATGTTACATATAAATTTGCGGTTAACAAAGCCTAAGCATACATAACAGCCACTTAAACTTCACTCTGATATAATCATATACATATATATATTTGCTTCTTGAATTAAACTTACGATAAAATTGAATTTAGAATTTGAATCTCTTTTTATATAAGGATTTCTTAGCTAATATTAAATCTGAAAATCCGACTTCGCCTTTACACTTTAACGCGAAGGCTTATCGAATAAATTTTATATATGTACACATTATATGATATAGCAATGCGACGTATAAATATATCTGTATTAAGATCATAGAATACTTCCGTTTTTATCACGATACGGATAAAAATTTCGTGAATGACGTGGACAGCTCTACAATTCCCTTAGCTTTTATTTCGTTTTTGTACGTAACTTTTATACAATTTTCACCTCAAGACAACAAGTGCAGACGAAGTTAATCATGGATGCTTCTTTACGTCGACTAATGATAAACTATATTTGAAGAAAAAAAAAATATGGATATAAAAGTGCAAAAGGTGAAGTATATACGTTTGGAATACTCTCATATTTTCATATGCCACATCAAAAGTATCGTTGTAGGACTTGTATCAAAAAAAAGAAAATATTTTTATAATTAGCTAGAGGAATAAAAACTAAAAGTTACTCAATATTCTATTATAAAAGATACATTTTATGATTTCTGCTATACCTAGTTTTACTATGGCAGTCCAAAATAAAGTCCATCAGTATTACCTGACTAAATTTCTTTAATGTTTATACTAACAAACCTCTGTATATAATCTCTAAATACGTCCTCGTTCTAGTCTGGTTTACTAGCTTAATAAACGCGAGATTGTACTCTTCAATAAGTAATTCGTGCATCGAATGTCCGATCGACACGACATTCATTAATTCGTGATAAAGTTTACTTCATCGTAATTTTCGCAAGGATGCAGCCTCTCGTGTATACCACACCGACACTCTCACAATCGCACTCATTCACACGACATTCAACGGACAAATACCTTATTGAAAAAAATACCTCAACATCTTAATGTCACGAAAGAGCGTTACATGACGGCATTATGTCTCATTGCCCGCTTGCGCAATGGCTAGAAGGGTCGGTGACTTGAGCTCTGGCCGAACGCTGATCTCCATGTATTTCGACTGGACGTACTTCTTCCTCACAGCTTGATATTTACTCGTTTCCGCGTTAGTTATTATGACAGCTATATCGTGTACGGCAGGTAACACATCGTCCTTAGAATAAGTGCTGTAATGTGCTAACGTATTTGTCCAGATAACTTTGCCCTCGTCTTCCTCATCATTACCGATGATTCTACGATGAGAAACGGGATTATTATTCACGCCATTTTTCATCGCTATCTCGCAACACGTAAATCCTTCGTTTCTCGGTAACTTACATGAACGCTAGGTATATTGCTGCTGCAGCGATGAGACTAGGTGGATAGTGACATACATTGTAGTGGATCAAGCATTGCTCCAGGAAATATTTCGCCATCGTGTGGTGTACAGGGAGTGCCTTTTAAAACATCATTCAGAAGTCGTTAATCGCGAACCGACCTAAGTCCGATATAAATGTACGTGCCAAGATGATATTCAACTTGGCCGGGTGGAGCTTAAATTTTAGCGCAAATTACGCTTTCGTACGTACTTTCCCGGCTTTGCTGTATCTCCGGAGGAAATGCAGCGGCAGCGGCCGGCCGAACGAGAAATTCAGGGTCTTCACGATCAGCATTTCCATCTGCAATATGTCTGACTTCGTATACGCTTGATCCGTTATATATACAAAGTCGCTGATATCCGGGGAATACATTTCCTCGTATTTGCTAGCGATGAACATTGCTGTCACACCTACCAGCTGCAATCTCTTCCTGTCTATCGTTCGATAAGCCTGCGCAAACCAAGTCAACGGGGCATTGTAAAATCAAGTTTACCGGTCGATTACGAATCGATTGGCGAATCTGTCTCACTTATATTAGCTTGTCGGGGCATTCTACCTGTAAGAAGCGGTCGATTATTGCGACCGTGAGATACAATGTTTCTTGCATCAGCCGAAACTGTTGGTGCACCTCGACCAACCAGTCTACCAGTACGCTTCTCATTTTAGAACTAATTTCTTGGGCCATTAGAAATCCCTTCTTAACAGGATACTTGCTCTCCAACTCTCTTAAATATTCGTGTATCTCGTTGGTGTAAAGAGCAACCAGGATGGGGTTCTTCTCATCCTGTTCGTCAATATCTTCGTGAATCAAGTCCGAAGAGAACGCCTTGGGTGTTTCTTCTATCTTCTTATCGGAACTCTTATCAGGAGTGTTTATCGATGCAGGTTCTTCAGTGGGTATATTGGCCTCACTGGGAGCTACCGTCTTGACGACTGGCTTCACAACTTGGACCGGTGGTTTCTCTGATACTTTCTCCTTCGGTTTCACAAGTTGCCGCTTCTGCACCGTCACTGCCGCCTTCTTGTCCTTTTGCAACAAACTGATCCTGTCTATGGGCTCTATACCCCTTATCGTGTTAACTTTGTTGCTTATCTCACGTAACACCGGTCTGTTTGTTTTTGCTGGTAAAATCGCCGCGGAAGACTTGATGTTTTTGACATTCTCCTGGTTCACTGCGATCTGCGTTAAATGAGAGAAGATTTAGAATGACAAAGTGTACACATCCGCAGCATATATATATATATATATATATATATATACAATGTTCCATCAACGTTTGTGCAGCTCTTAAAAATAGACGCACCCTTACACCAGGTATGATGAAACTTTACATCAATTTGAGTATATTAGGCTAGATTTCTCTTTCTTCTAGAATCCTTGTCATAATATACATACCTGTTTTATCTTCCATACCAAGAAATATCCAAGAAAGGAACATATGCAATATACCGCACAACTATTGATGTAACTTACAAAAATTACGAACACACTAGCAAGAGGACGACGAATCTAACATTTTCCGCACCGCACAGGAAGATTGCATCGCGCGGAGGAGGGGCTGTAAACGCCCAAGCGGGAGGGGGAAGATGCCAGAGAAGAATTTGGAAAGAATCGTAGAAACGCGGGGTACGGGAACACCCGGACCGTATCCGGCGCCGAGAAGCCCTCGGGACTGGGAGTGATAATAGCCAGGATTTAACCATGATAAGAAAGCAAGTGCCTCTCTCTCAGGGAACGATAAGGGCATTTAAAGATGTCAGGTAGCAACGACCGGTCGACGTTGACGCCGAGGTGAAAACATGCTACCTCTTCTGCACGGATCACAAGCTCACCTTAACTGTAGCCCGACTTTTCGTTGCCATTGTCAATCGCACGCAGTAGGAAAACGATCTTACGCCGAACACGTATTTGTGTCTCTCCCTTCGAGAAGTGAGCCTCAAATGGCCTTTTGCGAGCAACGCCGGGCAGGATTCACCTCTCGAAGTAACGACTCCGTCGGTTTGAATTTGTTTGGCCGAGCACGCGAACGGTCGGCGCGCACGCGTTGTCCGCAGGGGGAAATGCCGCGCGAATACGACGGTTTGATTGGCCAGCCGTTGGCGTAACGTCTCCTTTTAACGTATTCAGCTGCATGTCTTGCATTGGCCGGGTCCCGTAACCCAGGCATTTTCTGCGACAGGTTTCTGCGAAGAGCGCCCTTTAACAAAAGACAAAAGACGGAAACGACGTGGCGCCGACGAAACGAACGAAAGATCTCGAATGGGAGAAATGGTGCAATGTAAAAAAAAAGTGCAAATTAAATCGCATTGTGTGCGCGAGGGAACAAAGGTTTCCTCGATTTTCGTTCCGGTCGTCAGCTGATTTTTACATTACTCACTACGGTCGTTTTATCTTCCCGGAAGAATCTCACGTGTAATCGTATTAACGATAACGACAACGTAGAACGAGTTGCTTTCCGGAGGTTAAAAGTCTCACTGAAGCGTTGTGTGTCTCAAGTAGAGACACGTTTATCAACTTTATGACCTCTCTCTCTCTCTCTCTCGTGCCGTACAGCACAAATGTTCAAAAAACATCCCAGAGACGTCCCAGAGATATTGGAGCATCTCTGAGACTTCTGTAAAGTGTCTTTTGAATATTTATGCTGCATTGGATTTATACACGTTCTAAGTAGTCAAACATACAGCAGATTCTGCGTGACATCTGCTGTAGATTTGCTGTAAATTTTATCAGTAGTTTACTAACAAAAATGTAACAGGATCCGCCAGCAGAATATAATTACAGATTAAGAAGCAGAAACCGGGCATCTGTCACTCCGTCGCCGTTTAAATGTATTTAATTATGGAGCATCGTTCGGATCCTGCTTGGTTTTTACCGTTAGGTCTGTCGTCGATCTGCTGTCAAATTATGTCAACAGATCACCCGTCGTTCTATTCTGATTGAATCTGAATCTGGCTTCCAATCCGCCTGTATAACGCTAAAGTGTTACCCATTGAGTTGGAATGTTGTACGAATGTCCCATTTTACAAGCATTTGTATGATTCTTAATTCTAGCTCGCCACATTCCCGGTCCAGCGGACCGTTGAACGTTTTTCGGTTTCCCGGCTTCCACATGGTATATTATTTTTCTTCTTCAAACATCAGGTGTCCGCTACAACGAACAGTATTCTTTCCTAAATCAAAATTGAGAATTTTTCTGACAAATTTAATTTAAACTCGAATTATTTTAATGAATTTTCTCGACACGATATCATAAGCATCTTATTCGGACTTCGTATTTCCAATTCCCACGTTACGAACGTAAAGACATGAATTAGAATGGAAATGACGAAAAGGCGACGAAATCGAGTCTCACGGACCGGAGTATGGCGAATTAAAGACGCGAAATAAGTGTGGCTGGCTTAACATGTACACGATTCCCCTAACGTATTATTTGTACTCTCAATACTTTTCCGTTGGAGGGGCCGTCCGATGCCGCCCGATTGTTGACGACAATCGAATTGTTCTGCAAACTGCTGCTGGCAACATAGCTTTCGCAAACAGCTGATCGCAACCGATCACAGCTGTTTTACGAAACTTTAAAGTTCCTACGAAGGTTCTAGCAGCGACGATCGACTGATAAGTTCAGATTATGGTCGCGAGTACAGTGAAAATTGCGGAATCAGTTGGGAAATGCCGCGTACAACGAATGCATTGATGATGTTATCGACGGCGTGTGACTCGCTTTGACAGATACGATTATTGATTTTGACATTGACTGTCAAGTGGTGTCAAAGGAGTTCCGAAACAATGTCTATCAATGTAGACATAAAATTAAAACGCGCGAGCAAGATATATCACGAGGGGGTCGGTTGCCTGGTTGTGTATAGTTTGCTTTTTTTGCGAAATATGCGGATTTGAAATTTGGAGGTTATGTTATTGTTACAGGAGGTTGTTGCTGGTTTGATATTGCTGAAGACTAATTCGGACGTGAAGCACGATGGGATATTTCTAACTATGGAAGGTTCGGTCAATTTGCAGCTCAGCTCGAAGAATGTCGGTATTTTTGAAGCATTTTACAACTCTGTTAAGGTTAGTACGTGTATGTGTGTGTGCATGTGATCTTCAGCCAGATGAATTGGATTGGTAAAACTTGTCGTATAAGGATTATTTTTGATTGAAGTAGTTTTCCTCATTCAACCATACAGTGATCATAATTTATTTAAATTTTACACTATCGTTAATTGATACAAGAGTCGTTTGATTGCTTTATGTGTTTTTTGCAAGCGTATATTCTTCTGCTTAAATTGAAATTCCAAAAACATTAACTCTTCACAGTGAAATCTTAAATTCTTTTTCGCCTAAACAATCTTCTCTTCTTTATAGCCTATACAATTAGTGCAATATACATTGGACGTTGCTCCGTCGGGAAAGATTCCAAGTGGCAAGACGGAAATACCTTTTGAATTACCATTAAAGCCAAGAGGAAGTAAATCTCTTTACGAAACATATCATGGCGTTTTTGTCAACATACAGTACTTGATACGCTGTGATATCAAAAGGAGCTTCCTCGCGAAGGACGTGAACAAGTCATTGGAATTTATAGTTGAGGATAAACCAACCACCAAGATGGAAAAGGAGCACAGTAAAATCGTGTTCTTCAAGATAATGCCGGAATCTCTGCAGAACGCTAGGGACAGAACCAATGTGCCAAGATTTTGCATTTCAGGGCGACTAGATTCCCTGCACTGCAAAATCTCCGAGCCCTTGACTGGGGAAGTACGTAACTCTTTCCACCCATCATTATTATTCATATTGTGTCTTCACTCATTAGTTCTGTACTTGAAGGTAGTGATTGAACATTGCGAGGCTGTTATAAAGTCCATAGAGTTGCAATTGGTCAGAGTGGAAACCTGTGGATGTGCGGAAGGATACTCTAGAGATGGTAAGAGCTATGTAATTCATGGGGGAATAACTCAACTTTACATTTTGAATTTAGAATCATTCTTTATATCGACTATGTACTAAACCTCCGAATGTAAAGGGCTGGAAAGGCATATCGCAGTGACAATAAGAATATCTGAGAATGTATTTTTGCAGCGACGGAGATACAAAATATACAAATTGGTGAAGGCAATGCTTGCACAAATCTTGCTATTCCGATCTACATGATATTTCCAAGATTATTTACATGTCCCACTTTGAGCACAAGCAACTTCAAAGTCGGTAAGAATAGTCTCGCATGTTTATCTTCTGAAGTTTGAAAAGTACAAAAATTTACGATATACTTCTAATATATATCATATGTGGTCTCTTTTCAGAATTTGAGGTAAATCTTATTATTGTGTTTGAAGATGATTATTTGGTCACTGAGAACTTCCCTATTATACTCTCGCGATATTGAAAGTTATAGAAATAAAGATGTTTTCTAAAAACGTGTAGTTTGTAATATTTTTTCATATAAAATATATTTGTCCCGTTATGTTCCATATGTATTCGAAAAATGCATATAAAAGATAATATTCTTCACATGAAATAAGTATATTGTAAGCAAAGACGTGACGTGTAAAAGGCTATAAATATCGAAAATAAAAATGTCGGGAAAAGTTACTTCTCCAAGCTGTATTTTACCTCCACGAGGAGAGAGATTGAAAAATACCCTTTCTACGTTTTGTGTAGTGTGGAATTGCTTACGAACGAAGTGTATAGCCTTTTACAGTATATGTGGACTTTGGCACAGATGTCCTAATTTTATGAAAATATTGCGCATAATATATAACCTTTCCTTGATGTTAAGACCCCGACTTATTATCTCAACCTAAAGTACTAGCATCTCCTTTCGCATCTCTGAGCCCTTCTTTTACTCGAGTCCTGCTTTTTGGATAAATAGCCTATAATACTTTTCTACTTGTTTATTCTGTGTTAGCCCGACCGAGGCTAACAACACGACATAGCCGAGTACGAATGTCAGCAACTTGTGTTGCTTGAACCATGTCAGCAATCCCGAGTTATCATTAACGCTGAAATATCAGGATGTTGCTTACAATAATGACCGTGATTGTACGAAACTTAAATAATATATCTTCCAATGTAATAAGTATACAATAGAGTTAATCAGTGAAATAAGTTACATGATTCTCACCTGGTTGTTTTGACATCTTGAGCGTAAACAAGTAGATAACGTACTTTCACCAGATCGCTGTTTATCACCACGTAATATTTGTTTGGTATTCTGCCACCTACGGAATCATCTAACATGTTTTGCGCGTTGTTGCCTAAAAAGTGATACTATCAGAAATTTGCTCTTCAGACTTCGTCGTGTGGTAAAATATAAATATCCAGAGACAATACACTTACTCGAGTCCCCTCTTTTGATATCGGGATGATCGATCAGCTCGCAAAGTGCTATGCAACTTATCTCGCTCCCGAGAACGCTACCTCCCCATCCATAACCCACCGGACTGTAGGGCAAACTCACCCCTAATTCGCTCGAGAGATATATTCCCTTGCCAAATTCCGATCTCTGCAACGACGAAATGTGTAAGGATGTATAGCAATTTTGCAACTATCCTAAGTAAAAAGAGAACACGACACCGATCACTATATACCTTGCACATGATCTGCTGTAAACCATAATGCACGATAGAATGGAAATTTTCCAGACGAGTTCCATGGTAAGCGTAAAATGTCGAGTGACCCTTCTTGCTCGATTTCCACTTCTCTTCCGCCGTAGACTGTTTTGTACTCTCTACTTGGAATATAAGATTCGGTGCTGCAGCCGGCATCTCCAGAGGTATTTTTTTCAGTACCCCATCGTACTGTAATATAAAATTTTACCCATTTCAGAGCTTGTGCCATGTATGAGGCAGTGAGTCCTACGATATTCAGAAAAATCTTTATGTTGCGAACGACAGATAAACTTACGCATTCTTTCTGTACACTCTTGATATGTGGATCCTTCAATCGTAGCAATACCCAGTACAATAACTCTATCACCTCGCCATGGTTCTCATATGCGCCAGCTTCGCCGAGTTCTTTATATATCACGGATAAAGGAGGAACTGATTCTATGGCTCTCCTCTGCAGAGAAAGTAATATATTAGACCATTATTATATGTTGTCACATGTACATACACAAAGAGTATCAGAGATTATACCAATGCTTCGATGTCCTTGCACTCGTTCTTAATGTACATAGGTGGGAACGGCTTCAAACAAGTATCATAGCGATAAGTGTTGGATGCCGCCACGAAAAGAGACCACTTGAAATCGGCAGCTTTCTGATCCTTCTCCAGTAGATGTCTCAACAACGACATCTTCTTCTCTACATTTTCATCAGTTATGTTGTGGTCCACTTGAGACGTATATAATATATCTAGGCCAGTCTGTGCCACACTCTTATCCTCTGTAATTTCATATTGCCGATTCTGTCTTACTCTCGTGTCTTTGAATGCCTCATTCAAGTTCCTACTGGTGTGCGCCATTATCATTTATTTATTACTGCACCTGTATAAAAAAGATATATCTTTCAGAGAAAATAATTCATCGTTCTCATAAGATCATGTGGAATATTTATGTATTAATAACTTATCCTACACACAAAATAAACCTCGGAGATCAATCAGATTCGCTGGAGTATCTTAGAATACAGCTTTATGTATGAATAAAATTATGATACTTAATAATTGATATATTTAAAATATACTTTATTGCCTATATTTTATTATCACTCATATATTAAGTTGCAATATATGAAGGACGCAAATTACACTTTTCTATTAATTTCAATTACGCAAAAAAAAAAGATTGCTCTCCACACTCCTCATATCATATCACAAAAATGTTTACATAGGACATTTACCGTACAGTGATACAGTTATATGATGATGCATGTGTTCTTTTGCCATTCCTATTGTGCTGAAATGTCCTAATTAACATATTTGGAAGTTCAACTTCAATAACAACGGGTAGATAAATTAATATAAAATTTACATTACAGAACGTTAACAGATATACGTATGTAACACCAGGCGGAAACCATATTGGGTTTATTCGTCCTCTAGGGACATTCAATCAACAAATATTTTACCAATTCTAGTGATATCTATCTCGACATTCATAGCTCATATGTAGCTCCTATATGCATTTAAACAAAATATATTGGCAAATATCGCCTTTTAACTCGACATATCGCAAAAAATTCTGAAATTATGCACCTCTAACAATTATCTGATAAGATTCTACAATTGTGAAGAACAAAAATCCAATTTAACAATTAATCCTGGAAAAACGAGCCTCTGTCAGATAATTTTTATTCGCGTATTGTTTGCAAAACTGTAAAAGGCATTCAACGCGCGTTTTAAGTTGTGAAATATTCGAGCATTGTTTGGAATATCAACTCTCTCGATGGTGTGTCATATTTTATAGAATCTATCAAAAGATTTTCGTTTTTAAGCAATACTTACGGGATGTCTAACATTCATCTTCCGATCTTCGATTTATTTACCGTGCGTGAAAAAATTATCAGCGATCGACGAGTTGCGTGGCGCGCGTGGGGTTCGCTTGGAATCGGCTCGATTATTTTCGTCTCACAAGAAATTTATAACAGAATCGTAAACATCTTCCTGACTCTTTTCGCGACCTGTGTACCATACACATTCGTCTTCCATTTGTTTCGCCGTCCTCGCTTGTTTCTCAAAGCCGCACGCGATAACCCAAGTATTTTATAACGTACATTTTAACTCACAAATTGATACGGCGAGATAAGCCCGAAACGAAACTACAAGGAAAATGCAGATAATGCAAGTTTCGAAACTGAGTGGGAGGCTCGCGTCGCGGACGAGAGAAAAGAAAATACAAGCACACTGTTTCTCTGTAAACACAAAGAAGGTTAGATTACCGATTGTTCGCGGCGGCGTCAAATAATCTGCGTTTTCACGACGGTCGAGAAAATTCGCGGAACTTGTCGCGAAAATATATTTCTCCCTTTACAATTCAGGATGTCAATTATGTTTCTCTAGGGCGGAAAGTAAAAATTTCAAGTGCTTTCAAATAAAAAAACATTTCCCACGAATTCACGTAGAAAGGAAGATTCATAACTCCCTGGGGATTGATCGTGAATCTTCTCCAGCGTGAACTCGTGAAATGTGTAAATTTTCTAATTTCAAAACATTTGAAATTTACATTTTTCATATTTCCTTTTCCTCCGAGAAAAATTACATGGCGATATCCAGGGTGACTTTCACCCGGTTATTTCAACCGACAGTTAACTCAACGGAATTGACCAATCGCTTTGGCCAATTAGCTAAACTGATCAATGCGATTGGTCAATTCCGTCGAGTTAACCGTCGGTTGAACTCAACCGAAGTTGATGAAAGTCATCTATAGACCCGATTTTTCATTTTCTGATTAATTTGTGATTTAGACATAAACTAACGATGTTTTTCTATTTATAGTTAATCATTAGATTGATGGTTTTGTAGTGATAACTTTTAAGTTTAATGAGATTAACTATGAATAAAAATATATTTTTTACGTTATCATCAAGTTAAGTTTAAACCATCAGAAGATGAAAAACCGTGCTTTAGGGGTAGTTTCACAACTTTCGGTTAAGTGTCAACCGTGATTGGTTATTTCTGGTTAATTCTGCTTAACGACAAATATTATTGGTCAATTCCAATGGAGTAATCAGCGGTTTAAGTTAATCGGAGGCTGTGAAAACTGGCCTCGCCCTCGCTCGAAAGCCCTCATCAAAATCCTCATGCTAATTTTTAATTCAACCCTCGGGTCTCGGAACCCAGAATAGGCCACTTCGTAGACGCATCGCAAACCCTTCATCGTTCAAAACACGCTTAATATCAAAACATGATCTCCGCGCGACGGCAATTCACTTCGCTCCGTGAGCAACGCAGCAGCATCAGGATCGATCGGAAACCAATCGGAAGAGGCGACATATCGATAATTTCGAGACGACTTCGAGGTCTCGACCAAGGCACGTCATTTTTATCGTCACCGTGGACCGTCGTCGAAATAACGACGGTTTAACGTAAAATTGTCAGCTGCTACACGCATTGCTGGCGTCGACGAGGCCTGAATCACGATGAATTGTGACGCGCGGAGAGTTTCGCTTCTTTTTCTTTTCTTTTCCTCTCCCGCTGAAAAGAGAAAAGGTGTCGGGAGTATCGCGATAAGATATCCGTTCTCGTGCGTTCGCGCACACCTACGTGCGCTGCGGATTTTTGCGCGCGATCTCGGCATTATTGTTATTATTATTATGCATATAAATGTCGCCGCGCGTCCGAGGTTTCGTGTGGGTATTCGCGTTTATTACTGGTTAGCACGACACACGGGTGCAGTTTAGCGCCCGCACCTTATATCACGCCGGTGTGAATGACGTGGTGGCGTACAACACGTACATCGCAACGAAACGGCTCGGCCCGCAATTAGTTAGAACGCATAAGTCGCTGATGTCTTTTTCATCGCGCGCACGTGTGTAAAAATGTGCCGAATATCGTTCACTAATTAAATTTCCATTAAACGCACGTGTATTGCATGTGAGGATTTTTTTCCCGCGATCAAGTTACTCGCGGAATTGCGAAACTTAGTCTAACGTCGTGCTTATATTATTGTGGTGCTTATTATACCAACGAACTATTCTCAGAATCTACAATATATGAAAAGTATAACTGAAAGAAATAATAAAATAATAATATAAAATTATATTATATAAAATTATATATATATATATATATATAATAAGATCCCGGAGAACAAAAAGCGTCTGAAATTGACGTCTAAAAGAAACAGAACGTCTTTTTCGGACGCACTTTGTTGTATATATATATATATATATGTATACAATATATACAATATATACAATATATATATATATATATATATATATATATACAATATATACAATATATACAATATATATATAATATATACAATATATACAATATATACAACAAAGTGCGTCCGAAAAAGACGTCTGTTTCTTTCAGACGTCCATTTCAGACGCTTTTTGTTCTCCGGGATCTTCTAGATGTTGAAGTAAGCAGACGTGACTCTCGATATTTGCCGAGAGATTTGCGAATAGTATTTGTGAACGTAAAGTATGGTAATAAAATACCGTTGATGGTTCGGATTATCCAACGTTTCCCGTCCTCGCTCCGTTGACGGAATAACGATGACTCCGACTGATGTTCGAGATTTCAATAATACGGGGCAAAGTACTAGCCGCAAATATTACAAATGTCAATAAAAACGAAGAAAATAAAGATTACCCAGATTAATTCTGGAGGGGTTGTTTCAAGTATAACTAGAAACTGTCAGCCTTGTTACTTTCATAATGACCGACTGCTTTTCTGAAAAGTATGTAACGACGAATATCGTAAGTGTATTAACGACATAAGATTGCGATATGTTAATAGCGCACTTTGTCCTCCATTAGAAGCGGAAGGGTCGCATTCGCTGTGGGGGATACTCTGAAATAATCACGGTCGCATGGATATCGACTTCATCTTTCTGTTTGAGCACGAAAGCGATTAGTTCGCAACGATACGACGGTGCACGTTGAGCGTGGCATTCTAAGTTAAAGCGACGCTTTAATTTTAGCGTAAGTCTACACCGCACATCTTTATGTTCCCCTCTTTCTTATTTTATTCACCTGCTTAGGCTACCTCGCTGTGCTGCACACAGAGCGAAGCTACAGCTCTGTAGAATGACCGACCGATATCTTTGAATTTTAGAAAGAATTCATCTCAAAACATTATACATGCTAGGAAAAAATGTTTGTATGTAATCATATAAAATTATATTTAATTACATATAATTAGGTGATTTATATGTAAATTTTGTGTCTGTATAGCTACATATAATTATATATAATTATATATGTCTATAAAAAATATAAATACTGTTAAATGAATACTGTTAAAAAGAAATACTGTTAAATGAAAAACGGAAAAAATAGTTTGATTCAATTAAATATTACATCGTGGGCAATCGTATATAAACATAAGTGTTTACTTCAGTTATATTCGTATAACAGCATTTTTTAAATGCGAGACATGTATAATTATGCATGATTATATATAGGCATATAGAGCCGAAATATATAATTATTTTTTTAATGTGAATTAGAGACACCGTCGAATTTACATATAAACAGGAATGTAGGGCTTGAGATTTTTAACACAAGGCGACAAATACAAAATAACGACAAATACAATTTCCGAAAAACCGTTGATATCGGGAAAGAATATCTCAAATCCAGATCGGAATTTCTAATGGTCGTTTCCACCGACGTCGATTAAGAGTCAGCCCGAGTCAGAAACTTGGTCTGAGGCGAGCTTAAACTCAGGTTAAGGTTCAATCGACGCTGGTGCGAGAAACGGGCACGAGCTTTTCGCTTTTCACGCCGAGTCGGGAGCCAGGGAGACTGATTTACATGGGCTAGACAGGGCGCGTTCGAAGATCCGGCCGAGATCGAAAACGATCGCGGCGCCGCGGGAGATCGCTATCGTCGCCGTTGCGTCGCGCGCAATGCGAATCGACAGTCGCGCGCGCCCCCGCTCACTCTTTCTCGAGGCGGGCGCGCGGGAACTTTTGCGCGACGGCGATTGGCCGACCTGCTACTCAATGTCATGCCTCAAGGTAAACTATCGATGACGTCAGTGTACGTCACTTAACAAGTGGGAGTGGATGGATAGATGTCGGCAGCCGCGGTGGCTCTCGCGAATCGCGCTCGGTATCTGTGGAAGCTCGTGCCGCCGCTTCGACGCGATAATGCCGCGCGTTTCTTAGCGATATGTAGTGCTGAGTGCGGGAGCAGTAGTGGCGTCGACCGACTCGTCGCACGTGTTTCGTCGTGCGTGGAAAATCACCGAAATCCGTTCGCGCATGCCCGACCGTCGATGACGTCACGAAAATTGTGCTTTTGATCAAGCGAGCACTCTCGGTGTGTCTTTTTCTCTCTCCCTCTCTCACTCACCCTTCGTCTTTTTCTCTCTCTCTCTCTTTCTATCTATCTCTCTTTCTCTCCTCTCTTTCTCCGCCTCACTTTTTTCTTTCTCCTACGCTGTGTGTGTGCGTGTCTCTCTCTATCAACCTATCTCCTTCTCTCTCTCTTCCCTTCGCCCGGCCATCGTGCGCTCTTTCTCACTCGCTCCCGCTCTTCCCCCCTCTCGCTCCCTCTCTCCCTCATTCCCTCTCTTTTTTTTTAGTGGACGCACAATAATGTTGCCGTGCAAAATCAAATAATTACCGAGGCGCGCACCCGACGGGGGAGATCGTGTGGGAGCGGCGGGCCCGCCGGCGAAAAACCGTGAGTAGCAAATCGTCTTCTTTCGCCTGTTTACCTTTCGCAAAAGTCAGCCGTCAGACTACAGTCTGTCGGACATGGCCTTCGCGTAGCGCGCACACATCTATGCGCGCGCGTGTGTGTATGCGTATGCGCGTGAATGTGGGCATACGTGCGTGCATACTTCGGCGCGCGCACGCACACACATCGTGCATCAATGCGCGAGCGCACAACCGCCGCTGTACGCACAGACATACGTACGCACACACGTCGCGTCGCGGATTTCGGTGGACCGGAGACGAGAAGTAGGGGGAGAGAAGAATTTTCAACCCCTCGAAGGTCGCGAGCGGCGAGCAGGTCGTCGGTAGGCAAGCAGGCAAGTAGGATGCGTCAGGATGCGCCGCGACGCGCCTCCGTCGGCCGCGCGAGATTTATTGATCCTGCTCCGCGCGACGGCGAGTCGCTCGCGGCCGAGTCGATAGTCGGCACTCGGGATTTCTCGCGATCCCGCGGTCGTTATACGTCTGTCACGGCGAGCCGATAGGTCCGCCCTTTACACAACCAGGAGGAGACACGAGAGCGCGGCTCCCGCGAGAGGAGCGCGTTCAGCCCGTCGCCGTCGAGTGCGACTGCATTCGGGGACGGGCAGAATATGACAGCGGTTGCCTCCTCGTGGCATCGGATCCGCGAAGCGGATCGTGTCAAGGGAGCCCGTGGGCTCAGCTGATGGCGATACGGCTCACCGGGGTCTCCTTTGTTTCTCGACCGTAACCGGAAGCCCGTATTTTGGACGCGTGGCGAACGCTAAATACGCCTCTCTGATTCTCAAGCTGAAACAACGTTGCACGTTGTTTGTTACACGTTGACGCTCGTATAAGAGAGAGAGAGAGAGAGAGAATTTGAAATCAAAAGGGCGTATTTAGCGTTCGCGCTATATAGACGGTATTCATAGTCAGATCTTGTATTTGAAATCGCCTCAGGTCCATCTTCGGATGCTGCACGGATCGCTTCATTGGCTGCGAAGCAACTGAAGGTGAATTTGAGACGATCTGAGATGTAAGATTCGACTAAGAATGTTGCTCTACACAGAAAAAAAGTGTTAGATTGAAGTAAATAATTACTCCAATACTGCTTGGCAAATTTTTACTTGAATTAAATAAATATTGAGAGTATAGCATTTTTTTATATTCAAATAATATTTACTTGTTCCAAGTAAAACTTGCTTGATCCAAATAAAGATTCGATAAGGAATATTGGAATGATTATTTACTTGAATCTAGCGCTTTTTTCTGTGTATGGGTAATATTCATAGTCAGATCTTGTATTTAAGATTGCAAGTTCATCTTCATGAACAGTTTTGGATAGTTTCGGTGGATGAATACCGTGGGAGGAATATTTTTCTACGGTCATTTTTATCGATTTTTTTTGAAGCTCCTATATTTAAGCCCGTATGTTTAGGTGTTCTCCTTATGCTGAGATACCCTGTATAAGTCAGAATATTATAATATTCTTAGAAGATACTTAGCCTTCCTTTGAGTGCAAGTGAGTGTTTGCATCGGTACAAATTCAATTAGGTCAAGACTAAACCAAGAAGATTGTAATATTCTTGCTCGTGATATAAAAATATTCTTGATTCGAGACAAATGTTTTTTTCTGTGTGAATAATGAACTATGAATATCGTCTTAAGCGTCCAGAATAGGACCCCAGGGCAAGAACGCGAGATCCTCCTCGGGTCCACCGCTCGTCTCACTTAATGCGCGGCTCTCAATTTAATTCGCTGTCGGGCGAACGGCGCGTGAAAAAAAAAGGATACGAACGAAATGAGACTCTCTCGAGCGGTAAGCGTGTCCACCGAGAGAGGATTCCCATTCGAGAATTATCGAGGACGATCATACTCAAGTGTCGACTGTAATCAAGCGATTGATCGATCGATTAGCGCGCCGCTCGAAGCTTACGGTTTTCGTGCGCCATGGCCCTTGCAGGGCCACCGCAGTCTCGTGAAATTCGGTCGTCGATGGAGGCGGCGGGACGGCCTCGGCGATCGTCTCGAGCGGACACTTCGCGTAGCGTAGATCAGAGATTACACTCGGTGCACACGTACACCTATCGCAAGACGACATAAGTAGGTATTGCACTTCTTGATCGTCTTGAGCTAGCGCGAGATGACTCGTAATCATCGGCAATTGCTCTGACCGATCGTAGTTTTGAAATCAGTCTGCTGTCGGCGCCTCGCGCTGCGCTACGTCTCAAGCTGAGGCTTGTCGTTAACGGCACAAAAAGCAGCTATTATATCGCCCGATACTCTTGTAGAGTCTCTCGAGAAATTTGTTTCTTATCTACGCGTGCAGTGGCACGCGAACTGGGACCGTATTGTGTTCGCCGATGCGGCAGGATTGATTCACTTGGCGCTGGTAGACGCGCTCGACGTGACGAAACGATTTCACTCGTACGTACTCTTGTCGTATTTTCCAATCGCGATAGACTTGTCTCCCGCGGCTGGCAATTTGCAGTCTTACGTTGTTGCGCGTCGATTAAGCCGCGGCGTGTTGACTCATTAATTCGTAGCGATCGAAATCGTGGCGCGCAATACGACGCATTTACGAGGTGCGGAAACGCGCGCCTCAACAGGAGATATCGTTCCGCGATCGAACTCCACGGAGATGCAAATCTTCATGGGATCTCAGAGCGACGTGTCTTTTTTTCTCTTTTCCCCGACCGCGGAGTCTCATCGCACAAATACGCTCCGTGAAGCCGAAAGACGCTGATAAAGACGCAGCAACAGCTCCACCGCCGAGATATCGAACCCCTATCACGCTATCGTTGTTAAATATTAGAAAACACGAGCGTTTCGCTCGAGCGTTCCGTTTCGTACCGCCATCTGCGACCGGCTGATCTCTCGCCGAGCCTGCCGATAAGGCAGGGATCTGCGATCCGAGACTACGAGGCTCGCAGCCTCACACTTTTTGTCCTCAGCCTTCTCATCGTTGCATCGCGATGGAGAAGAGGGATGTGCGTAAATAAATCAATAATAGTGCGAATAAATATGTCGATTGATTTGTTTCCTTGCGCAAAAGTAATCGAATCACTTTAATTCGAGACATATCGGATTTTCAGGTGAATCGAAATCACCAATTAAGCATGAAGCAAGACGAATCGCGCATGTCACGTAATTATACAGATATGAATATGTATATTTGATTACGCGAGCATACGTGATGAGCAATTATGCATAGTGTTAGCTTGAAATTTATTACACCGCTTTGCTTTACCGGGCAAATTCCGATACGGAGCACAATGACACAATGTAGTGCGTGTTCGTGAGAAAGGAAGATTTCTAATTGATTGATTATCGCTCTCTCTCTCTCTCTCTCTCGGGTATTTTTTGCATGCGTGCGTGCGCATGCTTCAAGAAAAAAAGAAAAGATAAGAAGGGCGATATCAGGCGGCGAAAAGCTCGCAGCCTTGTTTGT